CTCTACAACAGGGAATGGATCGATCGAGTCTTCGAGCTGCTTCAGTTTAACAGTGTCAAAGATCGGACAGATCATTTCTTTGAGTCTGACCCTTGCTGTTTCGTTGGTCGGAAACTCTCTCATTATAATAATCGTATGCAAAACGCCAACTTTAAGAAAGTCGATAAATTATTTCATCGCAAACATGGCCATGTCTGATCTTCTACTTCCAATATTCTGGCTACCTTGGCGCCTGTCAGAGCTGCACTATGACAACTCGTGGTCGATCGGTGGTCACTTTCGCCAGGCCTTGTGCAAGATTGTCCCTTTCTTTAGTTATGTTTCCATTGCCGTTTCGGTTCAGAATCTGATTCTGATAGCAGTGGATCGGTTTGGAGCCGTGGTGTTTCCACTCCGTTCCCCACTCATCAGATCCAAGTTACGTTCTTTTTTCATTCTTGCCACGTGGATAGTTGCAGTGGCTTTCAGTTCATCGTACTTGTTCGTCTTCGACCTCTTTAAATACCAAGGGGAAATCGGATGTGTTGAGAGATGGAAAAAAGCATTTGGAGAGTCGTCGTCCTTTACTGACTTTGTAGTAGCTTCTTTTATAGTGTTTATATACCTCCCTGTGCTGCTGTTAGCCATTCTTTACTCCATCATTCTTATCAAGCTCAAGACACAAGTACACCCCGGTGAACAGTTCGCGAACACTCAGCAACAGCAGAACAAAAGAAACAGAAACGTGGTTCAACTGTCCATTTCTATCGTAACAGTGTTTGTGCTTTGCTGGTTACCTTATACTACTAACTTTTTTATCATTCAAGCCGGTTCCATACATTTGTCCTGTGGTTTTCGGCTATACTTTGATGTCACCTTATGTATGACTTCCTCGTACTGTGCTATCAACCCGCTTATCTGCTTTATTTTTAGTAGTAATTACCGACAAGGTCTTAAAAGACTCATAAATAGTTCTACTGTCGTACAGACCTAAATTGTAAAAATTTGCTTGTGACTGAATATGTTAAGATTTCGAGGTTCGTGGAACATTCCCAATAAATACACTAAGGAGGTTAGTAAATTGTGTTCATTCTACGTGTGTCCTCGGACTTTCAAAATTGACGATATGTGTAACCCAAGCGAAATTTAATCGTTTGTATGGCAAATATAGAACCAAGAATAAGCAAATATACTGTACTTATCTGGTGTTGATTTCAGTCAGTGGCTCTAGTAAGTTTCGGAGCAATATGAACGATGGTCCCGGCATCATCTGCGAACCTCACATATGGTGTCGCAAAACCGGGAAGGAAAGCAGAAAATCTGCGCCATCTAGTAGTTGACAAACCTCCTTCGAAAGCAGTTCCAAATTTCAAGCGAAAAACCTAGTGCATACAACTTCCTAGGTTGAATTTCAGACATTACTTCGAGGTCGGTTACTCTCTTAGTAACCGAGGGAGTAAGCGATCGACTCGAAGTAATGTCCGAAATTCAGGCTAAAAAACACCTTCCTCGCAAAAATCACAAATCAAATAGCCTTGAGATCAGAAATTATGTTTTGAATGCATTTGGAAAAAAATAACATTCTTCTATTCTCGAAAAAACTTTGTTTTATTGTTTTTGTTTTGTTTTGTTTTGTTTTCTTTTTTTGCCCTAATTTCTTGAAAATTTCAAATTTTTTGTCAGACGTTGACGCAAACGGGCGTCGATAAAACCCGGAATATGGAACATCCGGGAACATTCCGGAACATCCCGGAACATCCCGGAACATGAAAAAATTAAAATTTTTTCTATGAAAAATAATTAATTAAATAATAATATTAATAATAATAATAATAATAATAAATAATAAAGGAATAATAGATAGAAAACAATGTTTGCAAAAATTTATAATAACATAATAAATAACATAACATAACATAACATAAAAACGAAAAATAAAGAAACAAACAAACAAAGAAGAAGAAACTGGTATCATCTCCGAGAATGAGAAAACAATATTTTGTCGCGATGAATTTTTTGCAGTGGGCGAGTGAGGATCCGTTCAAATGACAGTAATGAGTGAAGGCTTGCTTCTAAATTCAAAATATATTAAAATGGGTCGCGAGGAGAGGGTTTTTAAGCTTTCGTTATAACCACCTCTTGTAAAGTTTACCATGCGGTTTAACGGTTATCCATTTACGGCTTTGCGACCGTAAGAAGAGCTTAGGGGCTCGTCGCTTTGGACTTGGATAATTAAATTAAAGATTTACATTCGCCGTGAATAGTTGCATTGGCAGTCAGGTAGCGCAGCGGTAGTTTCTAACTGTTATCAGTTAGCCTGAATTTTAGCCGTCTCCCCGCAAACTCCTCTTGCGACTCGAGGAGACGTCTGAAATATTATGCTGACTGTAAACAGTATAGAAACTACTACGAATGTGAGTTGCCCACTAAAATCCAAAGACAGGAGCCCCTATCCTCTTCTTAAGTTCGGAGAGCCGCCTAGTCTGTAAGTAATTCATGTTCAAGTAAAGCAAAGCCAAGTAAGCAAATGTCGGTTATATATAAGGAGACTATATGTTAGCTTGAAATAAGCTACTTTACCGACTTGGCTTGACATGAAATACTGCACCGATATTCCAGACCATTGCAGAACCGTAAATGGATAACCGCCAAATGATTAACTCACGGCAAACAATTACAAGAGGTAGCTGTGTGAGGAAAGCTTAAAAAACCCCCTCCTCGCGACCCATTTAATATATTTTGAATTTAGAAGCAAGACTTTACTCGTTACTGTCATTTGCATGAACCCTCACTCGCCCAACAAATTTTAATTTGTTGCGACAAAATATTGTTTTCTCATACTCAGAGAGGATACCAGTTTCTTTTTCGTGATGATTATTTCATTATTTTTCGTTTTTCTTTTGTTATTTTACGTAATTATTAATTTTTACAACAATTATTTTATTCACTATTATTTTATTACATTTTTTTCATGAAAATTATTTTTATTTTTTCATGTTCCGGGATGTTCCGGAATGTTCCGGCATGTTCCGGAATGTTCCGGCATGTTCCGGAATGTTCCGTGTTCCGGGTTTTATCGACGCCCGACGCAAACAGATCTGATAGCAATTCACTACGCTGCCAAAGGCGAGTTTCTTTATAGTAAGAAAAGGAGCTGGTGAAAGAACGATGAGCAGTAGTGGTGGGAATGTACTATTTCAAACATACATATGTTCAGCTTGCGAAGAATTAAAAAAAGGAAAAGCTTAGTGTGCGAACGATAGCACGTCTGGCACGTCCAGAAAATGGGAAAATGATTTACTGTTAACACACACACGAATATGGTTTCTTCCAGCTTCTCAGATAGTCGAAAAGATTAAAAGGCAGGGGAAAAAGAGACACAAAGAAATCAAAGTCTCTGCATGTGAGACACCTCAATGATGCAATGAAGAGCATTGGTGTATACATGAGTTTGTCGATCTGTGAAGATTGTAGCAGTGCAGTGAGACGAATAAAATAAAAAGAATATGAAAACAAGCAATGGAAAGCAATTAGAAGGGTTGATTCGGACATCGTCAGTGATGCGCAGATAGGACGTTGCATTTTATTTACGTGTTTTATATATGTAAGTAGCTTATGCCGACTGTTCATTATTTCTGGTTTATGTGTGGCTAACACATTTGAATAATAATAATAATAATAATAATAATAATAACAATAATAATAATGATAACAATAACGAATATTTAAACAGGATAAGCTATCAGTTCTATTAAAAAGAACTATTATCAAAAGGGGCCTGTAACTAAATAATAGATAACTAAAAATAATAAAATAAAATCGAAAGTGGAAAATAAATAGAGGATATTACACGGTGGCGCGAAGATATGAATTTTACTTTCGAGTGGCAAAACAATATTTTACGAACGAGCGCAGCGAGTGAGTAAAATATTGTTTTTGTCTTTTTATCACATAGACAAAAACACATCGATAATTATGATGGAACTGACGCTGGAACTGCTAATTTCAAAAGTGCCCAAGGAACAACTAGAGAACGAGTAAAAGTCTTCAATAGACGTCTCTGCTACACTTTTTAACATACGTTTATATTAAACGTGCCTCTCTTATAAACGCTTTCCTCTTGTGGACGCCTCCTATGACAATTGCTTCAACATACCAAAAAAAGTGAAATAGTGAAAAATCAATAAATTTATTATGTTTCTTGCTTTATTGATAGGAGTTTGCGTACTCCATCTTGTCTAATGATGTCAGATTCAAAGTAAACATTCTGATATCAAAGTTTAGCATGACAAAAACAAATGAATATGGATCTCCAAACGTCCAAGACGTATCAATTGAAGCGCTGGATATTCTGAGGTTTATTAAATGTGTTGTGTGATATATTTACCGAAATCGGCAAACATTAGTGTTGTAAAGTTTGTTACAGTTATTAAACTAATGGCCTCCATTAAACGCCTCCCATGTATTAAACGCCCCCACTTGGGCTCCTTAAGATTAAAAAGACACCCTATAGGCGTCTATTAGATCGTTTTCGGTACATCTAAAGGGATGTTTTCGCTTGTTTAATTTTGACGTGATGAGCGTATAATCGAAGATTTCATCGTCACACCTGTCTGAAATTTGTTTTGAGCGTAGCGGTTCAGTCAATTTCTTTTTAGTTCTTTTATTGACTCAATAAAATAACTTTAAAAAATATTGACTGAAACGCTATGTGCTCAAAACAAATTTCAAACAGATGTGACAATGTAATCTCCGGTTATACGCTTATCAACTATGCATTACACAAAGGAAGCCAAATATTTTCTTGGCAACGACAGCCCCACCCGTCAATTAGGTCGTTTGTAATTTAGCGTAGCTACGTACTTTCATTCTTTATTGACAACTGCTGTCTCAAGGCTTAAAAAGGGGCATGGAATTTTTAATAAAAGTTCTTAAGCGGACAGGGTTGCAATATTGAGTAGTTGTCATGAGAAGCTTATTAACCCAATGTCGTGCACGGCATTGTACAGAAGTCACCAAACATGAACTCGACAACAGGGAATGGATCGATCGAGTCTTCGAGCTGCTTCAGTTTAACAGCGTCAAAGATCGGACAGATCATTTCTTTGAGTCTGACCCTTGCTGTTTCGTTGGTCGGAAACTCTCTCATTGTAATAATCGTATGCAAAACGCCAACCTTAAGAAAGTCAATAAATTATTTCATCGCAAACATGGCCATGTCTGATCTTCTGCTTCCAATATTCTGGCTACCTTGGCGCCTGTCAGAGCTGCACTATGACAACTCGTGGTCGATCGGTGGTCACTTTCGCCAGGCCTTGTGCAAGATTGTCCCTTTCTTTAGTTATGTTTCCATTGCCGTTTCGGTTCAGAATCTGATTCTGATAGCAGTGGATCGGTTTGGAGCCGTGGTGTTTCCACTCCGTTCCCCACTCATCAGATCCAAGTTACGTTCTTTTTTCATTCTTGCCACGTGGATAGTTGCAGTGGCTTTCAGTTCATCGTACTTGTTCGTCTTCGACCTCTTTAAATACCAAGGGGAAATCGGATGTGTTGAGAGATGGAAAAAAGCATTTGGAGAGTCGTCGTCCTTTACTGACTTTGTAGTAGCTTCTTTTATAGTGTTTATATACCTCCCTGTGCTGCTGTTAGCCATTCTTTACTCCATCATTCTTATCAAGCTCAAGACACAAGTACACCCCGGTGAACAGTTCGCGAACACTCAGCAACAGCAGAACAAAAGAAACAGAAACGTGGTTCAACTGTCCATTTCTATCGTAACAGTGTTTGTGCTTTGCTGGTTACCTTATACTACTAACTTTTTTATCATTCAAGCCGGTTCCATACATTTGTCCTGTGGTTTTCGGCTATACTTTGATGTCACCTTATGTATGACTTCCTCGTACTGTGCTATCAACCCGCTTATCTGCTTTATTTTTAGTAGTAATTACCGACAAGGTCTTAAATGACTCATAAATAGTTCTACTGTCGTACAGACCTAAATTGTAAAAATTTGCTTGTGACTGAATATGTTAAGAGTTCGAGGTTCGTGGAACACTCCCAATAAATACACTGTAAGGAGGTTAGTAAATTGTGTTCATTCTACGTGTGTCCTCGGACTTTCGAAATTGACGATATGTGTAACCCAAGCGTAATTTAAGCGTTTGTATGGCAAATATAGAACCAATAATAAGCAGATATACTGTACTTATCTGGTGTTGATTTTAGTCAGTGGCTCTAGTAAGTTTCGGAGCAATATGAGCGGTGGTGCCGGCATCATCTGCGAACCTCACATGTAGTGTCGCAAAACCGGGAAGGAGAGCAGAAAATCCGCGCCATCTAGTAGTTGACAAACCTCCTTCGAAAGCAGCTCCAAATTTCAAGCGAAAAACCTAGTGCATACAACTTCCTAGCTTGAATTTCAGACATTACTTCGAGGTCGGTTACTCTCTCAGTAACTGAGGGAGTAAGCGATCCACTCGAAGTAATGTCCGAAATTCAGGCTAACAAACACATTCCTCGCAAAAATCACAAAGCAAATAGCCTTGAGATCAGAAATTATGTTTTGAATGCATTCGCAAAAAAAACATTCTTCTATTCTCAAAAAACTTTTTTTTATTGTTTTTGTTTTGTTTTGTTTTTTTTCTTTTTTTGCCCTAATTTCTTGAAAATGTCATTCGTTTTGTCAATTCACTACGCTGCCAAAGGCGAGTTTCTTTATAGTAGGAAAAGGAGCTGGTGAAAGATCGCTGAGCAGTAGTCGTGAGAATGTACTATTTCAAACATACGTATGTTAAGCTTGCGAAGAACTAAAGAAAAAGAAAAGCTTATTAGTGTTCAAACGATAGCTCGTCCACAAAATGAGAAAATGATATACTGTTTACACACACGCGAATCTGGTTTCTTTCTGCAGCTTCTCAGATTGTCGAAAAGATTGCAAGGCAAGGGAAAAAGAAACACAAAGAAATCAAAGTCTCTGCTCAAGGAAATTAAGGCATGGGTGTTTTTCAATTTCCCTCAAAAAAAGTCGAGGGGTTGTCTATATTTTAAGGATTAAGGCCTAGAGCAACAAAACTTGAGTAAAATAATGACTCTCAAAATTTAATACCATTCTGAGTAAAAGAATATTTAAATTAGGTCGCGTGACCTTTAACGGCCATTTTTCGCGAAAAAAATTAAATTAGAAGTGGCACCATTTTATAATAGCTGGCAATCAGAGAAATTGCAAAAAAATGTGTCCCCAGATGAACGACTAAACATCTGTGCCCGGGCTTTGTTGAATAATTTATTAATCAGAGTGTAAATAAACGGAATTTTGTACTAGTACCCAGTCCCCTTATCGAACGATTTTCTCATTTCCTTCCTTTCTAAAAGATTAACTGAGAAGGCCCGGACACAGAAATGATCTGCCCACTGGCCTTATAACTATGACGATAATTGAAACTTCCAGAAAGTAATTAAAAATGGTGCCATATTACCAAGTAGATTTTTATGCTAAAAATAGCCTTAATAGGTTACGTGACAACTAGTGACTCCAATCATCATTTAAATTTATTAAACTTATACCCAGGAAATCTGTCCTTAAGTTATTTTGTGCTATATTAAAAGCTTAAGAAGTTAGACCACCCTCCGCCCCCCCCCAGCCTCTTCCTGTTTTTGAGGAATTAGATAAAAGACCCATGCCTTAATTTTCTTGAGTGTGAGACACCTCAATGATGCAATGAAGAACACTGGGATATATATGAGTTGTTCGATCTGTGAAGATTGTAGCAGTGCAGTGAGACGAATAAAATAAAAAGAATATGGAAAACAAGCGATGGAAAGCAAACAATGAGAAGAGTTTGATTCGGACATCGTCAGTGATGGACAATAATAATAACAATAACGAATATTTATACAGGATAAGCTATCAGTTCTATTAAAAAGAAGTGTTATCAAAAGGGCCCTGTAACTAAATAATAGATAACTAAAAATAAAAAATAAAATCGAAAGTGGAAAATAAAATAAAATACACTAAGAAATCTAAGATTCAGTAATCAAAATCTGTAAACATTATTGTCTTATAAGATTGGAAAGACTTGTGAATTCTGGAATACTACTAAATCTAGTCTTACCCTCAACAGAGAGCACACTAAAACATGAGACTAACTTTCGACCAGTTAAATAAAAACTTCTTTCGTACAAATAAGCAGGGTTTGATATTGAGCTGTACAAAAGTAAGCAAACATGAACTCCGCAGCAGTGAATTGATCGATCAAGTCTTCGAGCCTGATTCTTGCGACATCGAATCTAAAATAATAATAATAATAATAATAATAATAATAATACTTATATAGCGCCGATATCAATATTGCTATTTTCATCAGCGCTTAAAAATAAAAATATTTTAAAAAAATACTAAGACTGCATAAAGTATACATGCAAAAAGTGCATGAATCTACTAAAAAGAGTAAAACAATTATGTCAACACTAAAACTATAACTAAGGTATCTAAAAGATAGTAATGCTGCGGCACATTCTGTTGATACTGGCATTAGTTAGGCAGTGGGACTTAAAAGAATCGAAAATGACATTGAATGTTGGAAAGTACTAGAATAATTACTATCAGTCTATAGAAAGAACTCGTGGGAACGTTATTTAGAAAATGATCAAGTGGTTATCAACTCTGGTTTTCCCACAGTAAATGGTAGGAAATGATAGGAATTCAGATTGTTTATCCATATATTTAATATACGGTGCACTATCTTTTCTCTGGAAACACGATACTTTTCTTACTGTTTATTGCACTTTATTAAGTAACAGTTATTTAGCTATATATTTATAGAAAACAACAACTCAAAAAACGGGAAAAAAAAGAAAGAAGGAAAAAAAGAGTTCAGTAGGACTCGAACGCGGCACCATCGCCTCGACGCGACTACACCTAACCACTACACCACAGACACTGTTTACGTAATCTTCCGCCGGCAAGATGATCGCCAGCCGCATTAATCGAGCTATTAACAGTAAAAAATCAATGTAAACGCATATTCCATGGCAATGAATGAATGAAGAACATAATTATGCTTTTCAAAACGCCGATACACGTCCTCGTCTGCAGCGTAGGACACAAAACATATGTTTTGTTATCTCGATTTCCGCCGTTATTTTGAAGCAAATGGTCAAAATCACATCCATCTTCGGCTCATACAGGTTCTTAAGAGTAGCATGGCATGACATTCTCTCACTTTCACATCACCTTCTAGCAAGCTGGAATTTGTATATCCCCCGTGTTGCGGAGTCGAAGAGCAAATGCTCATCTAATCAAATCAAATTTGCTACAAAGAAAACTCTGAGTCTGGGCAGCGAACGATGTGAACTTTCCCGTGTTTTTATTTGAGTTGTTTGTGGCGCCATGCACTCAAGTTGAATGCAATGCACTCTGGTTGAATGCAATGCATTGTGGTAAAAAGTGTGGTTAAATGCAATGCATTGTGGTAAAAAGTGATGAATTCGAGAATTCGTCGCCCCTTATATATTTCCCTTAAATCCTGATTATGTTGCTGCTCGCTCCCTACGGTCGCTCCGCAGCAAAAATCACCTAGACTACTTAAATTGTAAAAAACTTCATAAAACCTACTAAAATCGAGATTAAAAAGCACTTAAAATCACAAAAAAGCTTTCTGAAATAAAAATGTCTTGAGTGTCTTTCTAAAAGATGCTACTGAGGGGCTACTCCTAATTGAATAGGGCAATGAATTCCATAGTTGAGGAGCAGCAGCAGCGAAAGATCGATCTCCTAACGTTGTTAAAGTCTTGAATTTCACATTGTTTAGTAGCAGTCCATCACAATCGGAGCGTACCTTGTATTTACATGCTTCTTTAAGAATAATAAGTTCCTGGAGATAAAAAGGCGCTAAGCCATTGATAGCCTTATACGTTAACACTAATATCTTAAAGTCAATTCGGAATTTAACCGGCAGCCAGTGCAGATTATACAGCAAAGGTCTTACATGGCAATATTTAGATTCCAGGAAAATTAACCTAGCGGCAGCATTTTGGACCCTCTGTAGCTTATTAAGCTGGTAAGCTGGCAGGCCATAGAGCAAGTTGTTACAGTAGTCTACCCGACTTGAGACAAATGCTTGAATGAGCGTCTCAGTGGACCGCCTAGAAAGATATTTCCTAATTCTTCTTATATTATACAAGTAATAAAAAGCATTGGAACAAGTGTTATTTACATGAGAATTCATTGAAAGAGTCGGGTCTAACCATGTCCCTAAGTTCTTAACTACCCCTTTTGGTCTAATTACACAGTCTGCAATTAAAATATGATCAATATTAACCTTGGCTAGTTGTTGCTTGCTACCAATCATTAGGAATTCTGTTTTAACGTCATTGAGAAGTAGTTTATCATTGCTGTATAGCAGTGACAGCCTCAAATTGCCCGGTGCTTATGTTTGGACTGAAAGATACATACAACTGCGTTTCGTCAGCGTAGCAGTGAACCGTGGGAAGGTGCACCTTGATAACATCAAACAATTTGCTTGGATAAATCGTGAAAAGCAATGGCCCGAGGCAAGAGCCCTGCGGTACTCCGAAGTCCTAATTCAAACTCTGAGATAAATTTCCTTGAACCATAACACGCTGAGATCTTCCATTAAGATAGGAACGGAACCATTCAAGTGCCGTTCCAGATATACCAACTTTTGAGTGAAGCCGACTGAGTAAAACATTGTGATCCACAATATCAAATGCCGCACTAAGATCTAACAAAACCATGCTGTTTGCTCATGCACAACAAGATGTCATTTTTCACTCTCAGCAACGCTGTTTCTGTGCTATAATTCTTCCTATAAGATGACTGATTGGTAAGGTAAAGATTGTTCATGCAAATGTGACTATGAGTTTGGTTATAGACGGCTGACCCTGTCAGCTTCGAAACAAATGGTAAGTTACTAACGGGACGAAAATTCTTGAAGAGAATGTCGAGGCCAGGTTTTTTAAGTAACAGTAAGACTAAAGCGTCCTTCCTGGCGACAGGAAATTGACCAGACGTTATAATAATAAAATCGAAAGTGGAAAATAAAATAAAATACGCTAACAAATCTAAGATTCAAAAATCAAAATCTGTAAAAATTATTGACTTATAAGATTGAAAAGACTTGTGAATTCTGGAATACTACTAAATCTAGTCTTACCCTCAACAGAGAGCACAGAGGTCTAAATTAAGCAGCCTGAGTTTAACTGATGTACTTTTAAGGAAAACGTAAATTTAAAATGTGCCTTATAATTAACGAGGGGCTGCTAATCTCATAATTACACAAGGAACAACTGAAAGCGAAACAAGTCTTCAAATTGTTTCCAAAATCATTTCTTGAAAATGGATAAAGTTAAAATAATAAAAAAACGTTTTTCTTTTAATTATACTTCTCAGCGTCGACTACCTTTAAATTCAGAAAGATCAAAATCGCAAGGACGGGAAAAACAGGCGCTTATGTTACTTATGTTCAGACTATACCGCCATAACTTTTACGCCACCTTGAAAATCACACCGGATAGGGGTCCTCTTCACACCGACAAAAACGGTTATGGGTGCGCGATTTCCGTGTAGCAAAGCGAAGCTGCGCTGCTCCAATCTCTAAGGCGGAGACACAAGTATCGAATTTGTGCCGGTTTACACAATCCTTGCTAGCTTTTCGTGGCGCCACGAAAAGCTATCGGAATCTTGGAACATTACCTTAACATTTATTGAAAAAACTCGCTAGTCACTTGTGCCATTATAAAAGACTGTTGAACAGGCCGAACCTAGAAATTTTTTCTACGTAATTAAATGCAAACGGCTCTCAAAATGGATAAAAAATGTATGCATATAACACAGTCTAAATCAACCAGCTTTAATTGGATTCATTTTTATGGAAAACGCCTTATAATATAATTGACGCTGCAACTGCTAATTTCATAAGTACTCAAGGAACAACTAGAGAACGAGAGTAAGTCTTCAATAGACGTCTCTGCTACACTTTTTAACGTTAGTTTATATTAATCTCTAATAAATTCCCCCTCTCTTGTAGACGTCTCCCATGACAATTGCTTCAACATACCAGAAAAAGTGAAATAGTGAAAAATCAATAAATTTATTCTGTTTCTTGCTTTATTGATAAGAGTTTGAGTATTCCATCATTTCTAATGATGTCAGATTCAAAGTAACGATTCTGATATCAAAGTTGAGCTTTACAAAAACAAATGAATATGGATCTCCAAACGTCCAAGACGTATCAATTGAAGCGCTGGATATTCTGATGTTTATTAACTGTGTTGTGTGATATATTTACCGAAATCGGCAAACATTAGTTTTGTATAAGTTTGTTACAGTTATTAAACTAATGGCCTCCATTAAACGCCTCCCATGTATTAAACGCCCCCACTTGGGCTCCTTAATATTAAAAAGACACCCTATAGGCGTCTATTAGATCGTTTTCGGTAAATCTAAAGGGATGTTTTCGCTTGTTTAATCTTGGCTTCCCGTGTTTAGTGCTTAGTTGATGAGCGTATAACCGAATATTTCATTGTCACACCTGTTTGAAATTTGTTTTGAGCGGAGCGGTTCAGTCAATTTCTTTTTAGTTCTTTTATTGACTCAATAAAATAACTCAAAAAAAATATTGACTGAAACGCTACTGCTCAAATTAAATTTCAAACAGATGTGACAATGTAATCTCCGGTTATACGCTTATCAACCATGCGCTACACACAGGGAGCCAAATATTTTCTTGGCAACGACAGCCCCACCCGTCAATTAGGTCGTTTGTAATTTAGCGTAGCTACAGACTTTCATTCTTTATTGACAACTGCTGTCTCAAGGCTTAAAAAGGGGCATGGAATTTTTAATAAAAGTTCTTAAGCGGACAGGGTTGCAATATTGAGTAGTTGTCATGAGAAGCTTATTAACCCAATGTCGAGTGCACGGCATTGTACAGAAGTCACCAAACATGAACTCGACAACAGGGAATGGATCGATCGAGTCTTCGAGCTGCTTCAGTTTAACAGCGTCAAAGATCGGACAGATCATTTCTTTGAGTCTGACCCTTGCCGTTTCGTTGGTCGGAAACTCTCTCATTGTAATAATCGTATGCAAAACGCCAACCTTAAGAAAGTCGATAAATTATTTCATCGCAAACATGGCCATGTCTGATCTTCTGTTTCCAATATTCTGGCTACCTTGGCGCCTGTCAGAGTTGCACTATAATGACAACTCGTGGTCGATCGGTGGTCAGTTTCGCCAGGCCCTGTGCAAGACTGTCCCTTTCTTTAGTTATGTTTCCATTACCGTTTCGGTTCAGAATCTGATTCTGATAGCAGTCGATCGATTTGGAGCCGTGGTGTTTCCACTCCGTTCCCCACTCATCAGGTCCAAGCTACGTCTTTTCTTCATTCTTGCCACGTGGATAGTTGCAGTGGCTTTCAGTTCATCGTACTTGTTCGTCTTCGACCTCTTTAAATACCAAGGGGAAACCGGGTGTATTGAGAGATGGAAAAAAGCATTTGGAGAGTCGTCGTCCTTTACTGACTTTATAGTAGCTTTCTTTATAGTGTTTATATACCTCCCTGTGCTGTTGTTAGCCATTCTTTACTCCATCATCCTTATCAAGCTCAAGACACAAGTACACCCGGGTGAACAGTCCGCGAACACTCAGCAACAGCAGAACAAAAGAAACAGAAAGGTCCTTCAGCTGTCTATTACTATCGTAACAGTGTTTGTGCTTTGCTGGTTACCTTATACAACTAACTATTTTATCATTCAAGCCGGTTCCATACATTTTTCCTGTGGTTTTTGGCTATACTTTGATGTCACCTTATGTATGGCTTCCTCGTACTGTGCTATTAACCCGCTTATCTGCTTTATTTTTAGTAGTAATTACCGACAAGGTCTTAAAAGACTCATAAATAGTTCTACTGTCGTAGAGACGTAAATTGTAAAAATTTGCTTGTGACTGAATATGTTAAGAGTTCGAGGTTCGTGGAACACTCCCAATAAAATCTATCCTGTTAGTATACTGTAAGGAGGTTAGTAAATTGTCTTCATTTTACGTTTGTCCTAACTTTCAAAATTGACGATATGTGTAACCCAGGCGTAATTTAAGCGTTTGTATGGCAAATATAGAACCAAGAATAAACAGATATACTTTAATTATCTGGTGTTGATTTCAGTCAGTCGCTCTAGTAAGTTTCAGAGCAATATGAGCGGTGGTGCCGGCATCATCTGCGAACCTCACATGTAGTGTCGCAAAACCGGGAAGGAGAGCAGAAAATTTGCACCATCTATAATTCACTACGCTGCCAAAGGCGAGTTTCTTTATAGTAAGAAAAGGAGCTGGTGAAAGATCGCTGAGCAATAGTCGTGGGAATGTACTATTTCAAACATACGTATGTTAAGCTTGCGAAGAATGAAAGAAAAGAAAAGCTAAGGCCCGGTTCAAACCTCGAACTTAAAATGTGCCGAACCCTAATAATTAGGTTCCGCACATGTAAAGTTCGACGTATGAATCAATTAGGAACGGCACTTTTGTATTTGGGTCAACTCTGCCGATCTATTCGACTGAGCTTGTCGAATAGAACGGCAAAAGATCGACTTCGATTCATACGTCAGGGGCACCCAACGAGAATATAGTTTACAACCACTTAACATAGCATTGTTATACTTATTTTATTATTTAAACGGTAGATATAGGCATATTTTTTTTATTTTTGTTATGGCGTTACTTTATTTTGTCCAAATATCACGATCACGATCACGATCTCCTCAGCTGTCTCCATGCCATAACAGAACACAAATCACACCTCAATGATGCAATGAAGAGCATTGGGATATATATGAGTTTGTCGATCTGTAAAGATTGTAGCAGTGAGACGAATAAAATGAAAAGAATATGGAAAACAAGCGCTGGAAATCAAACAATGAGATGGGTTGATTCGGACATCGTCAGTGATGCGCAGATAGGACGTTGCATTTTATTTACGTGTTAAATAAATGTAAGTAGCTTATGCCGACTGTTTGTTCATTATTTCTGGTTTATGTGTGGCTAACACATTTGCATAATAATAGTAATAATAATAATAATAATAATAATAATAATAATGATGATGATGATGATGATAACATTAACGAATATTTATATAGAATAAGCTATCAGTTCTTTTAAAAAGAACTGTTATCAAAAGAGTCCTGTAACTAAATAATAGATAACTAAAAATAATAAAATAAAATGGAAAGTGGAAAATAAAGAGAGGATATTACACAGTGGCGCGAAGATATGAATTTTATTTTCAAGTGGTCAAATAATATTTTACGAACGAGCGCAGCGAGTAAGTAAAATTATTATATTGTTTTTGCCACGAGACAATAATATTCATATCTTCAAGCCGCCATGTAATTTTCTTTTTATTACATAGACAAAATGACATCGATAAAATAATAGAGGGAAATGACCGAAATTACGTCATCGATAAACTCACGTGTGAGATTATGGAAAATAAACCATTCGGGTCCCGGATGTAGTTTTTATGAATTTTACAAGTGGTATATTTTTCAATAAAACACTCGTGTCTATAAAATAAGTAAAATACACTAGGAAATCTAAGATTCAAAAATCAAAATCTGTAAAAATTATTGAAAAGAGTTGTGAATTCAGGAATACTACTAATAAAATCTAGTCTTACCCTCATCAGAGAGCACACTAGAACATGAGACTAATTTTCGACGAGTTTAATAAAAATCTCTTTCATAATAAGTAGGGTTTGATATTGAGCTGTACAAAAGTAAGCAAACATGAACTCAGCAGCAGTGAATTGATCGATCGAATCTTCGAGCCTGATTCTTGCGACATGGAATCTAAAATAACAGTCTAAATTAACCAGACTGAGTGTAATTGATGTACGTTTAAGGAAAACGTAAATTTAAAATGTGCCTTATAATTAACAAGGGGCTGCTGATCTCATAATTACACAAGGAAGAACTGAAGGCGAAACAAGTCTTCAAATTGTTTCCAAAATCATTTCTTGAAAATGAATAAAGTAAAAATAATAAAAAACTTTTTTCTTTTCATTACACTTCTCAGCGTCGACTACCTTTAATTCAGGGTAGGGATTCTGTTCACACCGACAAAAACGGTTATGGCTGCGCGATTTCTGTAACAGAGCGAAGCTACGCCGCGCCAAATATGGAGCTTACGAAACGAGGACGACGACGGCTACGAGGACTTCATTTAAAAATACAAGTTCGCGTTATTCATATCACAACGAAGCTATTTCATGTCGTTTCGCGTTAAAAATGTGTAGTAACTGGCGAGGAATTAAACTGGTATGAGTGGGTTAGAAGCGTAGAGAGAGAACTGAAAATTCATCGTCATGTGCTAACGTCCTCCCCAGAACCTTGAATTTGGTCATTTCACGTCGTCATTTAGGAGATGACGGGAAAGAAATGTACCACAATGTAAAACGCACGTGCAGAGCGTGCAAAGCCATTGTTTTTGCTCACTAAACCTATTGTTTTGTAGCGTCGTCGTTGCCGTCGGCGTCGTCGTTTCGTAAGCGCGGAGAGTCACATATCGAATTGGTGCCGGTTTACACAACCCTTGGTAGCTTGTGAACATTACCTTAACCTTTATTGAAAAAACTCGCTAGTCACTTGTGCCATTGTAAAAGACTGTCGAACAGGCCGAACCGAGAAATTTTTTCTACCTAATTAAGGGCGAACGGCTCTCAAAATGGATAAAAAATATATGCATATAACACAGTCTAAATCAACCAGGTTTAATTGAGTACATTTTCAATGAAAACGCCGTATGATTGACGCTGCATGGAACTGCTAATTTCATGAATGCACAAGGAACAACTGAAGAAAAGTTGAAAGTCTTTCATAGACGCCTCTTCTACACCTTTGAGTTTGTATTAGGACTAGATAATATGCTGTTTACAAACATGGCTGATGTAATGTCACAAAAATCGGCATATTAGCTTTGTAGATGTTGTAGTTAATTTTTTATCTCAGGTAATTTTTATTTTTCCTTTGTTTTTGGTTATGGTAATGTATGCTAACGAATTTGAAACAAAGGCAAAATAAAAATTACCTGGGATAAAAAATTAACCGCAACATAGACAATGTTAAAGTTATTAAAATAATGGCCTCCCTTAAACGCCTCCCATCTATTAAAGCTATTAAATTTTGACTTCCCGTGTTTAGTATTAGTTTATAAGCGTATAGCCGAAGATTACGTTGACACACCTGCTTGAACTTTTGTTTTGAGCATGTAGCGTTTGAATCAGCTCTGTTTTTAGTTCTTTTATTGATAATAATTTCTTGACACGGCAGCTTCACACATTAACTTAGCTATATACTTTCTTTCTTTATTCACAACTGCTGTCTCAAGGCTAACAGCATGTGGGATAAAATATTTAATAAAAGCTCTTAGTCGGACAGCGTTTGAGCACTTGCTATAGGAGCTACTCTAACGGATATTTGCGATATCTATTCAAGTCATTGGCTAAATCAGACAATTATTGAGCATGTGGCAAGGAAAAACAAATGCGTCCATAATTAGAGCTAGCGTTTTTCGTTTTTTCTTTCTTTCTCTCTTCCTCTTTTTGAGACGTGGCACGGAATTTCAAAGCAAGTATCTTGTAAAGTGACTTGCAACAAAAACAATTTATTTTTGATAGTCAGTTATTGGTCACTGTTGAAACAGTCATATAATGGACTACCCGATATACACTTTACAGTTTAAAATGAAAATAATTCTGATATCTATCTCGTGGCAGGAGTTGGTGAACTCAGCGAGGAAAACCATAGATTGTCAACCACTTTTCCAAATTGTCAAGTTACTTTTTTTGCAAAGCCTAATATATGCACGCCTATTTAATATACGCGTGCCTTTTCTTTGTCTAATCCGCTAAATTTATAAGCCTCTTGTTTTCCCTCGTATTATTCGCCTGAAATTCAGTCATTGACAGTGTTTGCTTTTGGCTAAATAATTCTAAATAAATCAACTGAGCAGACTTCAGGAACTTGTAAGTTTTCATTTTCATTTTTCTTGAAGCATGTACGAATATTACTGAAAATATGACGTAAAGAGAAAGCATGTTTCCAAAAACATTTGTTGAAAATGAATAAGGTAAAAGTAACAAAAAATGTTTTTGTTTTAATTATACTTCTCAGCGTCATCTACCTTTAATTTAGAAAGATCGAAAATCGCAAGCAAGGGAAAAGTACCGAGGCGCTTATGTTAGCTTATAATGCTCAGACTATACCGCCATAGCTTTTGCGCCACCATGAAAATCACACCGGATAGGGGTTCTGTTCACACCGACAAAAATGGTTATGGCTGCGTGATTTCTGTATTAACAAAGCGAAGCTGCGCTGCGCCAATCTCTAAAGCGAAGAGTCACATATCGAATCGGTGCCGGTTTGCACAATCCTTGGTAGCTTGTGAACATTACCTTAACCTTTATTGAAAAAACTCGCTAGTCACTTGTGCCATTGTAAAAGACTGTCGAACAGGCCGAACCGAGAAATTTTTTCTACCTAATTAAATGCGAACGGCTCTCAAAATGGATAAAAAATATGTGCATATAATACAGTCTAAATCAACCAGCTTTAATTGGATACATTTTCAATGAAAAAGCCCTATGATTGACGCTGGATGGAACTGCTAATTTCATGAATACACAAGGAACATTACTGAAGAAAAATTGAAAGTATTTAATAGACGCCTCTTCTACACTTTTAGCTTTGTATTAGACGCGCCTCTCTAGCAATAGTAAACGTCCCTTAGACGCCTCCCATGACAATTGCTCCAACATATTAGGAAAAAGCGAAATAGAGGAGAGTCATACAGTTTATTCAGTTTCTTGCTTGATTAATGAAAGTTTGCGTATTGTATCTTGTTCAATGCCAAGTTCAAAGTAAGAATTATCAAAGTTTAACTTTACAAATTAAACATTCTACATGGATCTTTAAAAGGCCAAGACGTATCAATTGAAGGACTGGATAATATGCTGTTTACAAACATCGGCATATTAGCTTTGGAGACATTGTTAAAGTTATTAAAATAATAGCCTCCCTTAAACGCCTCCCATCTATTAAAGCTATTAAATTTTGACTTCCCGTGTTTAGTGTTAGTTTATAAACGTATAGCCGAAGATTACGTTGACACACCTGCTTGAACTTTTGTTTTGAGCATGTAGCGTTTGAATCAGCTCTTTTTTTAGTTCTTTTATTGATAATAATTTCTTGACAACGGCAGCTTCACACATTAACTTAGCTACATACTTTCTTTCTTTATTCACAACTGCTGTCTCAAGGCTAACAGCATGTGGGATAAAATATTTAATAAAAGCTCTTAGTCGGACAGCGTTTGAGCAGTTGCTATAGGAGCTACTCTAACGGAGTGTAGTCTACAGGGTTGTACATATGTCACCAAATATGAACTTAACAACAATGAATGAAACGATCGAGTCTTCGAGCTGCGTCGATGCCAGAGCGACAAAGATCGGACAGACAATTGCTTTGAGTCTGATCCTTCCTGTTTCGTTGGTCGGAAATTCCCTCATTGTATTGATCGTTTATAAAACGCCAACCCTACGAAAACCGATAAATTATTTCATTGCAAACATGGCCATATCCGATTTGCTGTATCCAATATTCTGGCAACCTTGGTTTCTGTCAAGTTTGCACGCTAAGTCATGGCTTATCGGTGGTCAGCTTGGTCAGGCCTTGTGTAAGTTTGTCTCTTTCTCTGGCAGTGTGTCCACTGTTGTTTCGACTCAGAATCTGATTCTGATAGCGGTGGATCGATTTGGAGCCGTGGTGTTTCCACTCCGTTCCCCACTCATCAGATCCAAGTTAACTCCCTTCTTCATTCTTGCCACCTGGATAGTTGCAATGGCTGTCAATTCACCTGACTTGTTTACCTATGAACTTCTTCAGATAAACTCCGGGGAAATCTATTGTATTGAGAGATGGGAAAAAGCATTTGGAGAGTCGTCGTCGTCTACTGACTTTATAGTAGCGTCCTATATAGTGTTTATATACCTCCCTGTGATGTTGTTAGCCATTCTTTACTCCATCATCTTTATCAAGCTCAAGACACAGGTACACCCAGGTGAACAGTCCGCCAACACTCAGCAACAACGGGACAGAAGAAACAGAAACGTGCTTCAAATGTGCATTGCTATTGTTGTAGTGTTTGTGATTTGCTGGTTACCTTATACAACTGTCTTTTTAATGGGAAGATATAGTGCCAGTTCGACGCATTTTTCTTGTGGTATTTTGATATTCCAGGAAGTCAGTTATGTCATGGTTAACGCGTACTGTGCTATTCATCCGCTTATCTGTTTTCTTTTTAGTACTCATTACCGACAAGCTCTTCAAAGACTCATAAAATGTTCTAGTGGTTAATAAGTTTCAAAAATTTGCTTGTGATTAATATTTTTAGAGCTCAAGGTTCGTTGAACGCTTGTGATTGAAAACTTTCCTGTTAGTGTATAAGAACGAGTTTAAGTGAAATGCGATCATTGTATTTGTAGAATTGTAAATTGTAATTTGTTTACCCACGGAGCACTAACTTGAGTGCATAAGAACTCGTTGAAACGTGTTGGTTTTTAAGGAGAGAGGAAAACCGGAGTACCCGAAGAAAAACGTCTCGGAGCAAGTGGGAGAACCAACAACAAACTCAACCCACATATGGCGTCGACGCCTGGATTTGAACCTGGGCCACATAGGTGGGAGGCGAGTGCTCTCACCACTGCGCCACCCTTGCTCCCCCTCGACTGCAAAAAGTGCCAACACAAGCAGCCCAAGCGTAATTACAAGAGTTTGTATGTTGAATAAAACTTAAATAAATTTACCTGGTGTTGTTTTCTGTGCTTCTAATAAGACGTTTCAGTGGATTTAAGGCCCCGACCAGAAGGCGTCCCGATGAGAGACAGGTAGGAGAGAATGACTATTGCTGAGCGAGCAAACCACCTTCGAAAACAGCGCCCAATTTCATTCGGAAAACCTGATGCATTTCATGCATATACTGCGTACATGTACTGAAATACTGCAGCACCGAATGTTTAACAGGCTACCACATTAATTGTTCTCTCTGTAAAGGGAAACCTATGACTATAGTCCAGTTTTTTAATGTAATCGAATATGGATTCGCCATGATTATACTCTGTTACGCGATCCGCTGAGTTTATCCGCCTCGATCCACAGAACCAGCTGCTCCAGAACTCGGAACCTGATTCCGTTTACAATCAAAATAACTTTAGAACGTTTTTTTTTTTTTAAAGCATGAGCCGGCAAATGGCGTGTGTCTTGCAGCGAATTCGTAAAACAGATTCCCAATTCTAATTCAAAATCTCTGACTTCTACACCCTATTCTTTACTAAACTGTTTAAAACCCTACCCACCACAGGAAAACATACCGGTTGTCATAAATGAGACCACTGTTGGGGTTCAAACCCTGTTATCTCATAATGCTAGTTCCTTGAAATAACTGACTTTCGAACACATGGGGAAAACTGGTCGACACTGGGGAAGCGATAAAATCACCAGGGGCATTTTTCCCAACTACTTTTTTTTTATAATTTTTTTTTGACTCGCCTAGCAGAAACATTTATGTCCATAATTAGGTCAAACACTTGGAGAGTAATCTTCATTACCTTCCTAAGCGAAGAAGGTTTTCTTTGTTAAGCCAGAGGTATAACTAAAACTTAGTCTTCTTGAAAACATACTTTTTCAACCAGTAATTGATCCGTGATAAAAAAATATCAACAACACACGGAAACGACGACAGGGTTTCTCAATATTTTTATATTTGGATATTATCATGATATTTGAGTTAGGAGAATGCCATTAGGAATGATTCAGTAAGGGGTATATATAAGTATGTAAACAGCTACAAAGCCTCGACCGGATCCAGTTCCAAAGCTATCCTCTTTCTTTTCCTACAAGTGTGAGGCTTTGAACAGAGTTATCTAATTCACGTAACCAATCAACTTTTTGTTGAATAAACTCTTAAGACAAGAAAATTTTCTGGTATGAATGTGCGGAGAATCAGGCATGACCTTAACCGGGAAGGTACCAGGTACGATTCATGTTTTTGTCAAGATCAGATTAATCAAGGTCCACAAAGTAAGTTGTCGACATGAATAACTTTCCAATTACTCCATCATCCTTATGAAGCTCAAGACACAGTGACACCCAGGTGAACAATCGGCGAACACTCAACAACAGCGGAAAAGAAGAAACAGAAACGTGTTACAATTGTCCATCGCTATCATTTTTAATTAGTGTTTGTGATTTGCTTTCTTCCTTTTGATACTAACAATTTAATCATTGAGTATCGGGCCGGTTGTTCGAATTTATCTTGTGGTTTTCAGCTGTACGTTGATGTCGCCTACTGTATGGCTGCTGCGTACTGTGATATCAACCCGATTATCTGCCTCATTTTTAGTAGCAATTAGCGACAAGCTCTTAAAAGACTCATAAACTGCTCTGCTGTTGTACTCAAGTGAGATCCTTTCAAGAATTCGCTTTTATTTATTTTGAAAGCATTTTTAGAGGTTGGTGGAACGCTCGCAAGTGAAATCTATCCTGCATCAAGTGCATTTATCTGTAATTTGGTGTGACTTCAAAAAGTTAAAACAGCTGTCCTTGAAGTAACATGAAAGCTTTTAATATATGAACTGGGGTGTTTTACTAAGAACCAAACACTTATAGAATCGATAAGACCCCTTCATTCTAGCCTGAGATCATGCCCTCTCCCTATTATCCCTTTTATACTCTCACGGGAAGAGGTTATTTTTTTTTTTCCTCTCCCCTCGTCCGCCCTTCAAAAAAAAAAAAAAAAAAAAACCCCTGATCGCAGGTTACCTTCATTCGGGAACCGAGTGGCGTGTTTTTCGTAGTATTAGTACTGGCGACTGGTCATGAAGTAGTGACCGGTGAAACGATTCCCATATTTTCAAATTTTCGGCTGAATGAAACTGAACTTTGTTTGTTTTTCGGAATATTTATGGCCACCGAAAGATCGCTGTGGTAGCGGCTAAGATCTGGTGCCTTTTTTTTTCGCTGAAAAAAAAGACAACCGTTTGTCTTTTTTTTTTCGCTAAAAAAAAAAAGACAACAAAAGAAAAAACGCCGTATGTTCTAAAGATTTTCAGGTAATTTTTTTTCGAAAGTTGCTTCGAGAAAAGATAAGTTGCTGGATATTACTCCCGTTAAAAAAATGTTGTTTGCTTTCCCGTCATTCGTCAGAGCCGTTGTTCAAAATATCGACCGCTATCTCCGAGACATAGCTATGGACTCTCGTTTTACAAAGAACATTGAGCTCAGCATTTGTAGGAATAGCAGTATCGATAATTAGTTCAGCTTTTCATCCTTCACCATTTATATTTATTGCCAATAGAATAAAAAAGGAACTGACAATGTATTTAGAGTGGTTTTCGTTTGAGTGTCGTAAAACCAAAACCAAAGTAATTACTCTGGCCAATCACATAGGACACAGACAATACATTGAACCAATCAAAACTCGAAGTAATTACATGTGGCTGACGCAAAGCGCGGGAAAATGCATGCGAGCGCGTCACAATTGACTTTGGTTTTACTTCTGATTGGATGAAAAGGTGGCGCGAATCTTTTAAGCCAATCGCATCGTGTAGAAAGTGCAAAACCAATTACTTTTCGACACTCAAATGAAAACCGCTCTATCCTAAAATAGTTTGAGAAGGTTCGTAAGTCACTTGCAAATGACAACTCAGCTTTCACACAAGCTGCAAGGCAGATTATATTTAACAAAATCCGCATGATTTCTTACACTTTTTCGACAAATAACTTTGATAGCGATTGCACATGTTACGTCTCTTGTAAGAACGACACAATGATTTGCTTCCAAGATCCTTACATGGAGAAGGGCTCTCTTGCATGGTGGGACACTCGCTGGGATCACCTCTTCTGTAGAAAAAGAAACAAAACACACATTAGGATTCCTTATGGTTACTTGTATTTGTAATCTTTTTTTTTTAACTTGATATTTTTGGTTCTAGGGAAACAGTACACGAAATTTGCAAATTCCAAATCCTCTAAAATACATATCCTACAGCTTCTGTAAGGTCTCTTTAAGTCATATTCAAAGAACTATTTCCCATTCTAGTATATAAGTAAGATGCTGAAATGATAGCGACGTTGGGGTTAATGATAACAGCTCTATTATATAAGTAACGAAAATTCTGCAAAACCGATTACATTTAAATCAGTCAATTTATTAGTGCGATAGCGTTCGATAGGTAGGATTGCCCCGAGTATCCGAGCGGGAGGCTCATGTACATGAAATAAGCTAAAAACCCCAAGATATACAATCATTACATTTACAAATGGCATGTATAAAATAGCTTGTGAAGTAAAATGATCTCAACCTCTTGCTGAAGTCATTACTTTTGTGCTGAAGTTATCACTTTGTGCCTCTAACCATACACAAAATACTCCAGTATGGTCATAAAGAGAGAAAATATCAACCAAATTTCATCAGGGAGTACTAACCATGACAATTTTTTGGGAAAATGTAAAGGGCGAGAACGTAACGACCCGCTATGATGTATACACAATTGCAAATAATTATGTAAAACAGACTAAAAAGACAAGAAAAATTGCATCGCCTGAAATCACGGGGGCACCCAACGTCAATTTTCGGAAAATATCTGTTCGGAAGACGATTTGAGATCTAGAATTTTCGGAACATTTGTTGTAAAATTTCTTGCTTGTCTGCCTCTCCTAGGATTTTCGAGCATCTAAAAAATGGTATAATTGACCATTTTTAACGGATTTTACCCTAAAAAGGTCACCTAGAATTTTCGGGAGCCTTTTTTCTGGCTGAAATTTTCGAAAAGGTAAGTTTTGATCACTATTAATTTTCGGATCACTAAACTTTCAGCTAGGAAATCCGAACAGATGAAAAATTCTTAGGGGAAAAAATATACCTATATCTACCATTTAAATACTAAAATACGTTTAACAATGCTATGTTTAAGTGGTTTTGAACTATATTCTCGTTGGGTGCCCCGAAATCACAGCCCATGTTTTCTGATCATGAAGCTTCCCAAACGGAATGGTGCGAACCACTTGATTTTCCAAAAAAGAATTTCCGCAGGAGGTTTCCCATGTCCCCCCGGGATTCTAAAGAGTCTCAAGATCAATCAAAATCAATTTCTGAATTTTTCCATAAAAACGCGTCCTTGCATAACGGAATCGGGTCAATTTTAGATTATGTGAAACGGCCCACCTACCCCTCCCCTGACCCAACATCTTTTATTTTAATGAGAGATTAGTGTTAACCTTGGGTTATAGGGAAGGGGTAGGTGTGGAGACAGTGCAACAACGCAAAATCTATCATATTTTAAGAAAAGGAAATTGAAGTGGATTATTAACTCAAAGTAATTAACCAACCTCCCAGGATCTACGATGCGGTAAACCTTTCCGCTCGCTTTCTTGCTGCTTGGAATACTTGTAGAGAGGATATAAAGTTCACCTAGAAAATAATGATTTTATTCTAAGAACAAATGATTGCTTTCGGTCGAGAGAGCTTGTTTGAGAATTCAAATAATTGACAAAATATTACGAAATTATTATTGCAACTGGTTATACGTATCTACGGCAAGATGTAATAGTTGCACTTTTTCATTGATTGCATCGCTCTGCCATAACTTTCATGTTTGAAAAGGAAAGGAGACAGAAGTTTAAAGTTAAGCGTGATATACCAGAGGTCCGGGTTTTGACTGCGATGGATAATAACACTCTTCCCAAGGGGAGGGTAGCCTGTGTACAGACGTCCCCTCCTCCCTCAGGAAAAAATCTGGAGAGGAGACGTTCCCTGAGGGAGGAGGGGACGTCTGTACACAGGCTAGGGGAGGGAAGAGAAGGGAAAGCAATAATCCTAGAGGCTTCAAGTTACAGAAACAGGGTCTGCCTGGGGCACGAAAGTTTCCAAATACATCAGATGAGTCTCGAATGGTATTATCTATGCTTTAAAAGCTTGTTCGGTTAATTTGAAGCTGCCTTAAAAACTATTTATCTGTTCAGATGTCTTAGGGAAACTTTAGTATAGTAGTCTCTAAAGTTTTTGGTGGCTTTTATGTTCGTGTCATTCGAAAATGTTAGCTACCCTGATAGGTCCGGTCGACAAAGTTCGAGGGCACGGACCGGGCTTTCGGAGAATTCTAGGGCCTGAGTCCACTGTGAGTCGTTTTGTCTTTTATACAAACAACAACAACAAAACATTTACATTGACGAAATTTTACTTAATTACAATTGCAATTTTCCGGCACGCAGTTAGCCAAAACGCTAATCGCGGCGTTCCAAATAAATTAGTTAAATTACAGAAAATTGTTGGGTGACCTTGTTAGGCTCTGACTGGAACGTGAGGGTCGCGGTTGCCTTCGCTAAAAACGCGAAAGAATACGAAGGCCTGTTCAATAGACTGCCGAAGAAGCATTATCGCTACAAGGACTTGTTTTGACATCAAAGCTTACCTTGCTCGTCTTCGCCAAAAGACAGAATGTATCGCTCAAACTCGCCACTCAGTCTATCGGTACAATATTTCCCGTCGCCAAAGCAAATCTCTTTTTCTTCCCAACTTCCCTGGTTCTCGGTTAATGTGAACATACGACTTAAGCAAAACAGACATGATTAGCAAATAAGAAGGGTAGTTGCATTCAAAGCTTTCTAAGGAGACATAACTTGGTTTCAACTCTAGGCTTCCCCCTCAAATGCCATTAACCCTTTCATGTCAAATGTGGCCAAAGGCAAATTTCGACCAAAGTTCCAAATTTCATTTTCTAAAATTTTGAGAAACAAATGCCATCATGTGAAATTACAGGCAGAGAGCTTTCATCTGAATGGTCACATCATAGGATTTCCTCCATAGACTCGAAAGTCTATCTAGAGTCACCTTACAAAACCCCCTCAAACACTCTGGCAGTGAAAGGGTTAAGTAGAGTGGAACACGATTAATATGGACACCAAGGGGACGTGCCATAGTGTCCGAATTAAAAAGATGTCCGTAGAGCGGGGTTCCATGGTATTAGTTAGCTTCTGAGCTGGGCTTGGATTTAATTTAAAATTCGGCTATTATACACTATGTGACCTATCAAAAAGAACACACTTGGACACTACCATGGAGAGTTATATTTACTGGTGCAATTGAATTCTACCTTGTGACCATGGAAATAGTGTATCGATGTGACATGTTTTCCAAGTACTTTCTTTTAGTGATTGGTAAGGATTGGTTTTCATCGATTTCGGGGATTAAATCTCGCCATTTTCACGAGAAAATAACAAACAACTCTGTTGTATGTATCTCAACAAATTTACAGCCAAAGTTGCGGATGAAACAACATTTGTCAATCTTAGTAGTTAGAGTAGAGACATTCGTGACTACGTCAATGCATTGTGTTCACATCTTGTACTCGTCAGTTCGGTTGATCAGGGGCAGTTAGAGTCTTAGGGCACTTTCCATTTAACCCAAAATTCCGGAAATTTCAGTTGGTACATCGAATGGAACGGACAATTAATTTCGGTTTGGTCCTACCGGAATATTCAGGACCTATCGTTTCGGTCGGTCGGACCGAAATTTCCCTTTCCATTGGACAAAATTGTTGTCCCCAATACCGCTCTTTTGTATCCTGCTTACAGAACAATAACCAAACGCGCAGTGGCTTAGGTCGGGTTTGTATAACCGGAATGTACTGTCCTATTGGGCACGTGTTATTTCCGAAATTTTTGTTGAATGGAAAGCGCCCTTAGAATTCGAAACGAGCACAGGAATTCCATACCGATGACGCGTCATTGCTACTGGCTTCAACCAATCAGAAGCACTACCCAGATCTGGGTAGTGACGCATCATCAGTATGGAATTTCTGCAACCGTTTCTCAGGCGTCATTTGGCGGGAAACCAGTGGTGACGTCGCGAAATGCCGGCTTCCTTCTCAGGCTATTAGAGTCTATTTCTGTTAAACAATCGACCTCGTGGTGTCGCACAGCGAATACTTTTCTAAATTTCAATTCGACCAAGAATCAGGTAGACGACGAACCACTGTGTGGATTCGCTACCTCCAAATCGTTATTTTTTGCAAAAAAAGGCGCCGTTTTTAAAACAAAAAAGTCTGGAAGCTTTTACGTTACACAGTGTTAGGGAATAGCTTTAAACTATAAGAGTCCATAGTTTGATCATAAAAGGAAGGGAAGGATATACGGGTTATTCTTCATGAAGTATATAAACTGTATTACAATAAGGCTGTGATCTAATTCTAAGTCGTAAACACCTAAATGAACTCAATCTAATTTGAGTTTCAAGGACCTTAGGTAAATAACTTACGAGGTCATGGTATCCCCAAAGATGTATTTTCCACTCAAGTTTGGGTTTTGGCACCCGCGATAAACATAGCCACCAACGATGGACTTACCAATCGAATGGTTGTAGGCGAAAATAGGTGGAATAGCGCCACCTAAATGAAAAGAAAAAAAGGTTATAATAATTATACAGTTAAGCTCTCTCTAAGGGGTTGATAACATGAGTCGGCGGGCTGGCTCAATTTGTCGAAATCTTAGCATGTTTATAATCAAACGCATCAAAAATGAAATTTTTGATTACAAGATAACTGAGCCAGCCTGGTTAGCTAGGATCCTAGTATTGTGAAGTTTGGATCCCTGCTAATCGGGTTGAAAAATTTCCAACGTTACAGCGCCGGGTAACACAGTGTTCCTGAGCACATCTTCAAATCACTCAGTTGACAACTCCAGGCTGTCTCCTGTCTAACAAATAACGGAAAAAAAATTCCGATAAGCTGCGTGGCAATTGACTAAGTAAGTAAAGGAACGTTCAACAAAAAATAATGAACAAAAGTGCGACGTTGTTTTTTGAGTTCCTCTCCAAACGTTTCGGGCCTGGTCCTTCATCATCAGTGTCTCCCACCTAGCGTGTAGAAGCGACAGTGGTGTAATGGTTATCATGGCGGCTTCCCAAGCCGTTGATCTGGGTTCGATTCCCGGCTGTCGCAAATATATATTTTTTATTTTTATATCGCAAACTGCAAATGCAATTTTATGGACCTTTTAATATTCAACATTTGTAAACTTCCGTAATATTGATTAGTTTAATTTTCCACCTGAAATTGTTTTGTATCCGTCGCCGTAATTTTTATGCCATCTTTGAAAAATTGTAATTGAGGAGGCCTAATTAACATAAGCTCTATAGTCTCCTTTAGGCCTCCTCGCCATTTCTTCCTACATTTTTCGAATAAATAAATACAAAATACAAAATACAAAATGGACTATCATCTTTGATGATGAAGGATGAGTCAAACTATTCGTACCACCGTGGTTGTTAGTGACTGGTGTATCACAAACTTCGCCCATGGTTGGTGGGTTTCGATCCATAGTTCGACTCAGTAAATCAACACTATCGCCTGATGAAGACCTGCAGTGTGTGGTCAAAACGTCGCGATCAATATAATATCAAAGCGACAATCGTGACACAAACGGTAAAACTAAACCCTTTATATTCGTGTGATACTTACGAAGCAATGGCGAACTACACAGCTTCTTGTCGTAACAACTAAATCCCTCGTATCCTCTCCATCCGTAATTCCCGCCTTTTTCTATCAGGTCAATCTCCTCGTATTTGTTCTGGCCCACATCGCCGCAGAATATCCGCCCCTTTCCTTCTCCCGTCTTCCTATCGCCCCGGTCTACTGAACATCGCCACATATTCCGGGTGCCATATGCATAAATCTCTGGTCTTACCCCTGGGATTCCCATAAACGGGTTATCCGCGGGGATTTTGTAGAGATAACGTCGAGCGTTGATGTCGATGCGAATAACACTTCCGAGAAGAGTGGTCCTGAAAAGAAATGACAACAAACGTTAAAATAACCATTTCTGAATGCAATAGGCCTCTTTGCCACTTGTCTGCAGGGTTTTTTAAGTGTTGCTTGAACCTTAATGAAGCGTAGGTAACAACATGTTTTTCTTTTTCACATTTGTCTCTTCTTTGTAGATGGCTGAAAATTGAAGTTGTTAGAATAAAGGGAGAGAGTAGTGCCAAACTTCTTTCACCATTTTAGTTGGGGAAGTGCGAATGCTTTTGTCCTTGTCAACCAACGTTGCTGCCGTGACTTCAGTAGTAAACCAGCAATGCAAGTAGACTACGGACTACACATGGGCGGAATTTGATCTATGTAAATGTTGGCAACCGCAGTCTGACGGCCCTTCTTTTGCAGAGATTTACTTATTTACAACACAACCTGATCAGTTGCATTATGTATTAAAGGAAATCAAAGGTTTCGGATTCCAGGTACTGGGTTCGCTGTCAGTGAAAGTTGGATTCCGGATTCCAATCGTTGGTGGGATTCTATATTCTTTGAGCTGTATTCCGGATTCCAAAGCTTAGGATTCCGGATTCTACAAGCAAAAAAATTCCCGGATTTACACGGGACGAAAATCAGCCAATAACAGCCTCACCTGTTTAAGCCGTTGCCAATCTCTCCGAATGGATCTCCAGCTCCCCCACCATCCCCTAGGGTCAGGTATAGGAATCCATCAGACCCAAAAAATAAAGTTCCTCCATTGTGATTACGCTCAGGCTGATCAACTTCAAGAATTACTTCTTCAGAGCGCCGCAAGCCTCTGTTGCGATTGTACACCGAAGCTCTAAACTCACTCAGCACCGTTCTGTGATCATAAGCCAGGAAAGGTACTTTAGACGGCTTCCTGCCACCTTTTATTCTCTTATAACGGGTGGAATAATACACGAAGAATCGGCGATTCCTTTTAAATTCGGGGTGGAAGGCTATACTCAGAAAACCGCGCTCGTCGCCGAAAGATCCCGAAGATAGGACACGATCGCGAATATCCAAAAACGGTTGCTGCAGCAGTTTTCCCGCAGCTGTGATGACACGGATTAGACCTGGCTGCTCCGCGATGAATAATCTCCCCGAGCCATCCCCCGCGTGGACTGCAGCGAGAGGATTGCGGAAGCCGCGCGCGATCTCCTCCACGCACAAACATCCGTTATTGGAATCAAGGTCAAATTTTTTGGCAAGAATATTCTCGTCGACCGTTTCAACATTTGGGTAACAGTAATCTGGATCTTGTATCTTTAGTCCTTCGCAGAGCCCTTCCTCCGTTAAAGGAATAGATGTATTTGTTGCTGGTGACAGTGATCGAAGTTCCCACTTGAGCAAACGAGGAAAATTTATCGCTATGTCCTCACATTCCTTGTAAAACGCTTTACAGAAATCGGGGCATAATCCTGGGGTTGCTGTTGCAAGGTTAAAATTCTCGTTCCCTTCCGCTGAAAAAATGTGAGCAGCATATTTGTGGCATTCGAGGCAGAGAATCGTTTTCACCATGTTAGCACATTTTCTCCTCGTGTTTAGATTAAAGCGCTGCTCGAGCGCCTTTGCTTTCTTCGCAATTTCTTGATCGCGTTGTAACGTACAGCAACCATAGTCGGAGTAGTTTTGAGAACAGAATGACAGGCCTGCTCCCGCTTGAAAGGGTGCTTTAAAATCCAAACATTGAGGATGGCTGTAGACTAAGTTCTGGTTCAGAAAGGTGTAGGACAGAGCAGCAAAAAGCAAGTGAATGGTGATTGAAAGCAACAACATTGTGTAATGAATTGTTCAGTCGCACCAAAACACTTGAAATTTGAGATGACTTCCGGTTGCATGGGATAAGCTAGGGATAATTGGGATAAGTTTCCTCTTCCAAAGGTCGCGTCTCGTGCCTCTTCGCGTTCAGCTGCTCGCGCGCGCATGCGACGCGACGGGCGCGTGTGCACCTCATTTCCCGTGCGCTATCCCTGAGGCAGTTCAGACGTACTGTCCATAGGTATACTGTATGTCAATACAAGCCTGTACTGAATACTATTACATATTTTTTACTTCTAGTCAATCGAATAAATTTAAAGTCGACTCTCCAGCCTCCCCTCTATATGTGAATGTGGATTACATATTTTTTACTCCTAGTCAAACGAATAAATTAAACGTCGACTCTCCGGCCCCGATCCCCTCTATATGTGAATATTATTACGGCATATTTTTTACTCCTATGAGTCGAGTTAATTTAAAGTCGACTCTAGCTAGACTCCAGCCCCTATCCCATTTAAATGTGAATGGAAAGGAATGCATCACTACGTATATGCTGCAGGAACAACAAAAGAAAAAAACTCAGTCTGTTGATTGTATTTTACATCCATAGTCTGAATTTCGTTCATGGCTGTAGAAACCAGCCTTACTTCAACCTCCGAAATATTTTTTAAGAGAACCCTGTTAATTCCGGCTGTTACGGCCGGGGCCCGATGGGGGTGAAGTAAAGCAGGTTATTTGAGGGGAAAGAAAGACACTGAGACCCTTTTTTTTTTTTCCCGAAATCAGTGTTAAACAGCAGCTAGGTACATTTTCGCAACAGAATAGGAAGAGTAGAGTAGGTTTAATCTTTTTCTTAAAAATATTAAATGATTCTTAGCTTTGGATGAATATGGTAAGGTTGTTCCAAATTTCACATCCTTTAAATCTATATTTTTTATAATTCGTACCTGCCTTTGAAAAAAATCTTTGAAAGCGATACGAAGAGCTTTTGTGAAAAATTTAAATGCAACTAATGCTATCGACTCATTGTTCAAGTCATCAATTGGTAAAATAGATAGATTTTCAAAAATTGGACGTGTATGATCAGTTCAGTGAAACAAGGGAAATTCTGAGCCTCCTCAAAGCCTTTCTTAAAATAAAAGGCTTTAAAGATGCCAGAATTCTCCATGTTGTTCTTTACAAACTGAAAGTGGGTTTGTCCTATAGGTGATATATTATTTCAGACACTTTTCTGAAACTTACCAACGCAGGGAAAGACAATAATCTGTGAGAAAAATTCGCTACTCATTGCGCATTTCCCACAATACACCTTGTTTGCCCCCTCCGACCCCAGCCCCCCACCCCCCCGCCCAGCCCCCACGCCAAATTTTGCTGGAGCATAGGGCTGTCTTCATTTCTCTTTGCTAAGCCCCGTTGATTCTACCCTGGGTGCCAGAGACTTTTCTAGCGCGGTTTCCGGTTTCTGTCAAGTCTTTATAGTGACCCGCGCGAAAAGCGAAAAGTTTTTCTCGCGGCTTCGCCGCTCGTGGCTTCGGCCTACGGCCGAAGCTGTGTCGGCCTTCGGCCGACAAGTCCCGCCGCACGCGAGAAAAACCTCTGGTACCCAGGGTACGTTGATTCACCATTGATTGAAGAGGTTGGAAAATCAATCTGGTTCGTAAACAAAGAACTGATGTTCGAAACCCGATCACCATGGTGATCTGCATACACACTAAGTGAAAGGAAAATGGAAGAGCCATCTTTGGTAGTAACAAAGAAAACAGTGTCTTTAATGTATGAAAATGCAGTGATGAATAAGTTTATTGCGATCAGTATGTAACTCAAGCAAAAATTACTGTAAAAGTATAGGGCGCGAACCATTCAACCAAAATTCCAACCGGTCCGACGGGGAAAAGAGGACCACCTCAAAAGGTGGACCCGTTTTTTCGAAACTTTTCCGGTTGGACCGAACCGATCCATTGAGTTTTGGACCGAAATTTCCGGAAAGTTTGGTTGAATGGATCGCGCCCATTGTTTACATCGAGCGCGCGCGCTCGCGCGGGCAAAACCTGGACCCAGTCTCTTGTCACAAAAACACAAAATGGCAGCCGCGGAGAGCGAGTTACCTGTTGTGATTCTTGGAGCTGGAATAAGCGGTAATGTATTTTTCGCGAAAGGCGAAGAGGGGCTTCAGACTTCGAGCTAAATATTCGTAATTTTAGATTTCAGACTTTAACCTTCAGACTTTCTACCTGAAAGCAATCGTTGGGATCATAAATTTGGGAGGATTTTCATTTCAACAGCTGATTTTTATGGGATGGTATCAAGGCGTATTGTTCGTGCTCGTGCTCAATACTGTTCAAGAAATAACACACTGTTAGATAAGGAAGCATTCCCGTAGATGATAGATAATTAATAATTAATTTATTCGAGGTCGTAATATTGCTTTGCGTATTGTTCCTAATTTGATCGACAAGATGAGGTTGGATTTTGATACCCACACCACCGCCCCCTTCCCCCTTCCATAAATGTAGGTGCTGCTACTTGGAATGATTTATCTCCAAGAGTGTTCTTGGTCCTAACCAGTGGTCGCTTTAACAACAGTTCCTTGCTCAAATGCAGGTTATACCGTGTCTGTTATTTAATCTTGATTAAGTTACAAATAACCATAAATTGCCTTAAAACTTAGGATCAATATTTTATACTCAATTCTCCTTGAAAAAAACCTTCTGCAGTTCGACTCTCATAAGGCACCACCTCCTGTAAATGACCACTAACTCTTTGCATTTTAAGTGGTCGCCTATGGAAAGTAATTTGACAGTACTCTGCAAAATTATTCCAAAGAAGTCTGATGTCGAAAGTCTGAAGTTTGAACCTCTAAATTTTTAAAGTTTCCTCAGTCCCTCTTGCTTGTTTGATTGACCTTTACTTCTGTCAAGTTATTTTTATTTACATTGTGAGATTTCTTGTAGGTCTGTTTGCAGCCAGAGTGCTTCAGAAGGAATACGGAATTGATGTTGTAATCCTTGAAGCAAGAGATAGAACAGGAGGAAGAACTTTAACTCAGACTGTGAGTAAGATCAGCCGAATCTGACTTAAATAAATACCGTAAAATTCCGAAAATAAGCCCCTCCATGTATAAGCCCCACCAAATATATGACCCCAAAATCGTAACGCAAAAAGACCCTCTGTTAAATCGCCCCTCCAAATATCCGGGGGTGGGGGGGGGGGGGGTTTGATGTGGGGTGTGTGTTTTGAACACAATGAAAATAAAGCCAAAAATGGAAATTTTTTTTCCTCAAATGTTAAGATACTCCCGCGAATTTCGTTTCACTTTTGATTCTTCTATTCTTTGTCCAAAGCAAAAAATAGAAAGAAGGAAAGCAAATAAATCCCACAAATGAAAAAAACAATCCTAAATCAGATAAATAAAATACTATAAAGAACCAAATAGTGCCACCCCCTAGGAATCACCCCTCCAAAAATATTACCCCAAAACCAAAACCCAAAAAGACCCCTGGGGAAAGCGCCCGACAGGAAGTGGGGGGGGGGGGGGGGGGGGCTTGTACTTGGAATTTGCCCTTGAATACAAAGTAAAACAAAGCAAAAATGGTGAATTTCCTTTCCACTACAAGCTAGCCCAACCGATTTTATAACGCAAATATCCCTCTGTCTATAAGCCCCTCCGAATATAGGCCCCTCCAAAAATAAGCCCCTCAAAAAGGGCCTTTGAAAAATATAGGCCCTGGGGTTTATTTTCGGAATTTTACGGTATGCTTTCTTGATCTAGAATAATACACATTTTCTTTCTTTTTCCAACGTAAGTTGTGCATGAGTTTTCTTCCCTCTTTGACTTTCATACATAACACAGTCCACTCCGTGGTCTCACATATAAGTCTTTTATTTCCCCTGGTACATTTTATTTTATTACGGAGGTATATATTTGTCTTCAGGGTAAGACACGGTAGAAAAAATAATTTTGTCCAAGGTGCAAAACGTTCATGTAAATGTCCTGGAGCTCTAAGCTACAGTGTAGCTTAAAGTCTGTTTTATAATAATTGGCAGGGCTCAAAATAACTAGTTGTCAATGGACTATGCCTGGCAAGAATGGCGACATGACTGGCTGAAAGCTCCAGCTGTCTGAGTTTCATGTTTACCAGTGATGCATCCTCTTCTTTCTCTCCTGTAAATCTTAGATTTTGCCTCTTTGTAAAAATAGAATCAGCTTGCAACAATGTCTCTGGAATTTGAATTTGCCTCCAATTCCCTGCAGTGGCTCCCTGTCAACTGAGCTGTTATTTCCACCAATCGGCATGAAGCAGAAACGAGCATGAATGTAAAGAAACATTGAAAAACACGTGAAAGATGGAACTGTTGTCATAACTAATATCATCTCTACCAATGAACATGATGCACAGACTTTTTCGCTGCAGATTTTTTTAATTCCAGAGACACAGTTGCAAGCAGTCCTTCCTTTTCCCATCATGCCGCCAGAGTGCCCTGGAGAGCTTGCTCACAGGCTAAGGTTAAATTTAAGGTTAGCGCTCAAGTTAGTGCTAATCAGCCTTTGAACAACTGGGCGCAGGAGAATTTGTATGTGGATATTTGGGATAGGCTTAAAGGCTATACTTAATGCATGGTTATAAAAAAGTTTTATTTAATGCATCATTATTATGGAAAACAATACTGTACTCTGTACATTTACAGGACCCTAGCTATGGATATTGTGACTTGGGTGGGGCTTATGTGTGTGAAACTCAGACAAGATTATTGAGACTTGCCCAGGAGTTGGGTGTGGAGACATTCCAAGTCTATGGCCAGGGAAACACAGTGGAGAATTACCTGGTAAGTTTTACGTCAGATATGATGAAACATTCTGCACTTTACCTACTTCCACTTCACCCTTCACTCACCAGCCAAGAAAATACCTTCAACACTGAGAGTTCATTTTGTCTTTATTAACTGATGTAATGATACAATGATTATACTAGCACATAATTAGACCTGAAATTCCTTAACGAGTTGATAAAGTGTGCAATTATTAAAGCCAATTCTTTGTACTAAACATTTATGATAACTACACTGCTAGCATATTAACTAAATCCAACTGAATGAGGTACAATATACAAGTAAGGAAAACGTTCCTTCAGCATGGCTGCAGTTGCACCTAATGAAATCGGTGTGTGATTCATTAATAGGGGAAAAGAGTGACCAAGCAAGGGGCCCTTCCATCTATGGGTTCATTATTAGGAGCTCTGGATGTTAACAACTTCTGGCAGCTCCTAGACAACATGTGCCGCAAAGTTCCATTGGAGGACCCTTGGAATGCTGCTTGTGCATTAGAGTGGGATGCCATGACAGTTCAACAGTTGATTGATGAGAAGTGTTGGACGAGGTAAAAGTAATATCACAGAGGTTTAAAAAAAGATAAAAAGTTGTTGAATGAGCCAATTACATGTTAGGTACTCGACTAGAGATACATCATAGCTTCAGTCTTCTTGACAGGTTGGTACAGTGTAGTTGGGACAGTTAAACTAGCATTTCTGATGATTTTTAGACAGTGTGTTTACTTCAAAACTTTCCCTCCACCATTTTCCCGAAACAATGTTGTGCCACAAACACCCAATTTACAAGGCAACAACATTTATTTAACAAAGTTTGGTTAGAAGGAGCTGGGGAGGGGAGATTTTCTTGATCAAAAAAGAGAAATTAATTTAATTTATTAATTTAATTTAACATACACACTCATAAAGATTTGTCAACACAGTATTTCAGTTTCACTGAAATTTAAATGTACTGTTGTGTATGCTTAGCAAATGAGGGTATTCAAATGATAGTGGGTGCCATTTTCCCAAACTATTGTACTAGTACAGATAATCGCCAGATATATAAGGGGAAAGAAGGTTTAAGTAGGCCCTACTGGTGAGCAAATTTCCATCTGTGAATGTAATTGAGGTAAATAATTAATAACAAAATGACTGAATATTGATGGTAAGATCTGGGACAAGGTGTTGTAATGTGACCAATGGAACACAGAGGAATAAGGAACTCAGACTCTTGTTTCAGAGCCATATAAATCAATAATTATTGTTTTCTTTGATAAGTCATATGTCCCGTTATTAATGAAAATTGTGTGTGTTAATGAATTTTGTCATATACATGTGCATATCTTCTAATTAGAGTTGAAAAACCATTTGTATTGCCACATAGATATGGAAAGGCTGTTGCCACTGCATATGTACAGGGAATTCTTACATCAGAGCCTTGTAACATCTCACTGTTGTTTTTCCTGTGGTATCTACATTCTGGAGGAGGTGAGCTTAAACACAACTGAACTGTAGATGCCAAACTTCATACAAATTAAATCCTACAGGTCTCATGATCTTGCACCTCCCTGTACTACCTGGCAGACATTTGGCTCTGTGTTTTCGGTGGCAGATAATTGAAAGATACTGATGCTGTTTCTCTTTTTCCATGCAGGCATAAAACGTAACATTGAATTTAAAGGTGGTGGCGCTCAGGTTTGTAGTAAACTACTTGAAAATCTTATTACAAAAGGCTTGTACTATTAATTCAGTATTTAACGGAATTTTTTGTGTCTACTTAATAAATTAAAGTATTCATTGATTTTGAACAAACTAGGAAATGAAATTCTGTGGAGGCTCTCAAACTATCAGCATTAAAATGGCCCAAGAGCTTGGTGGTAAGTTTGAAGTAGTGTTGGTGTGAATTAATTTTAAATTGTTAAATGCCCTTCCTAAGCTGTGTGGCAGGAGTTCAAAGTGGAAAGAACCTTTTTTTGCCTCAATATTGATATACAGATTCTCCTCACTGATCCGTGTACAGTCCTTTAAAGAAATAGTTGAGAGAGAATTTGGAGAAAAGATTAAAGCATTATTCCTTTGGTGATCAACTTCTCTCGTGATGATCTGTAGAAATTGTTAGGAGAAAATTAATGTTGGTCACTCTTAGGACTATCGCTAGAACACGATAGGCTCTCCTCCTTCACACGCCCTTTTGGTACTTGTGCCGCGTAATTTCTCCTAATCCTTGCCCCTAAAACTATATAGTGTTTGCGTCGCTAAAGAGCCAGCCTGAACGTGTCAAAATCGGCAGTAGTCTGCCACACGTAGCCTCCTAAAATATTGGGGACAGCAAGTAAATCTCTGGCGGAAATCAAATTTGTTCTACCTAGAATCGGCCTTACTGACATATCCTTTAGGTAATGGCCCATTTAGCCCCGTCCCCAGGTCATTTCGCCTTTTTTTGAGCGTCCCATGCGAATTGACCTTATTCACGATACGCGCCATCTTTACACGTGCCTAAGGACTGATAAATGAAATCAGTGTCACGTAGTTTCTAAGGTGCGCTGAAATACCACGTGACCGGCATTGCTTTTATCCCATTGATCCTAAAGGGCGTGCAAAAATGGCGGGTATCATGATTAAGGTCTATTCTCCCGACGAGGTTGACGCGTGACGTCAAATCCGAACTCCCTCTGAAGCTAGTGACCAGTACCCTGGGTGCCAGAGACTTTTCTAGCGCGGTTTCCGGTTTCTGTCAAGTTTTTCTCGTGGTCTCACCGCCCGTGGCTTCGGCCTACGCCGAAGATGTGTCGGCCTTCGGCGAACACCGAAAATTCCCGCCGCACGCGAGAAAAACCTCTGGTACCCAGGGTAAGTGACTAGTGACCCACAAAATTACTTGCATTGAATTTCAGATAGAGTTAAGTTGAAGAGTTGCGTTGTTGGAATCAAAGAATGTGTAGATCATGTAAAAGTCTTATGTGGTGATGGATCTGAATACAAGGTTTGCAACTTGCCGAATATATTCGACTTCTTAGTTCTTACTCTAGCAGTAATAGCTCAGTTAGTAGAGCGCTTGACTGCAGAGCGGGAGGTCGCGGGTTCGATTCCCGAAGCCGGAACAATACTCAGAGTCTTAAAATAACTGAGAAATGAAGGTACTTCCTTTGCCCTGCCAACGCTAGACCTTCGTGTTTCTCGAATGAGCACATAAAATGGCAGTCCGTCTCCAGTAGAAGATGTCCAAATTAGTTCTTTCGTGCTAAATTCATTGTCACTAAAAAAAAATGGGATTTTTTTGTTTTTGTTTTTCTCGTGGATCGGTTAAAACTCTACAATCGCTTTCTTTTCTTCTTTTCTATGCGTGGGCCCTTACCACATTTAAGTGCTCGCGTTCACGTGTTAAGTTCTCGACATCTTTTTCCTTTTCGCTCCAGGCATCATTTGTTATAAGCACAATTCCTCCTGCACTTCTTGGACGAATCAGTTTCAATCCTCCACTTCCAGCTCTGAAAAATCAGGTGAGAAGTTAGGTGAAAGTATTCGCAACTTTGAGGATGCGCGGGAGACCTGGTCGAAGTGGTTGTCAAAGTGCATTGTGGGACTGTTTTATGGGACGAATTTTCCGCCATGTTGAAAATGCGTCCCCCAAAACAGTCCCAGAATACACTTTGACAGCCATCTAGGCTCGGTCTCCCTCACAAGGCTCAAAGTGGCGTGTACGTTCTTAGGCCTGGTCAACACAAATCCGGACATTTTTGAAACTCCACTTTTGTTTTACCCGAATTGTGGATTGAGTCCTATTAAAAACTAGAGAGTGGTCAGTTCTTGTTAATAGTAACTGTCCTTAGATTAGTGTAATATATAGATTTAGCCAAGGCTAAAGGCAAAGTTCTCGTAAATAAATTGATAATTTGCTTCAAACAATAAACTTGTGACAATTGCAATTAAGTCCACTGGGAGTTGAGCCTGCGATCACTTGAAAACAAGTACTTGTCAGCGAATAACTTCAAAAAACACGTGACCTCGATGCGGTCATGTGATACTGGTCAGCGATTACCCTGTTTTGACAGCTGTCAATTGACCACAATATGGATGTGCAATTTCAGGTTGCAGGTACCCTTACTAGCTAGAAAGTGTGAGATTTCACATTGGCTGTACTGTGGTGCGGAAGAACAGGTGGAAGGGTGGACGGACGGACGGACGGACGTTTGCACAAAATTTCTTGGATGGATATAACCAAATTTTCTTTGCAATGGGGTTCCTGCGCGTGGAGCTCCGCTGTAATTGATCTATTTGTACTAAAAGATTCTTTGCACTGTTTTGTTGCAAAAACCTTGATAGTAGTGGCTGCTACTTCAAATAATTGAATTGAAGTTGCTTTCCTTTCACTATCCAGGCCATTCAAAGAATTCCTATGGGATCCATTATAAAGACTGTTACGTACTATAAACGGCCATTCTGGAGAGAAAAAGGTACGACTTGAAGAGAACGAATAATTTGAATTGAATTTTTTTTGAAATGGAAATGCATCGAATCTAACAACAACAACAACAACAACAACATCTTTATTATTATTATATCCAACTAGAGAGAAGTTTTGCATTTCGCGATGGCTTGTTACATAACATACATATGTGATAAGAGGATGTCTAGTAGCTAAATTATCAAATGTTTACGTGCTAGCTCCTAGCTATTATTACAAATTTATTTTTTAACACAATGGTGACAATCACAGGTATAATGGTAGTAAAGAAAGATCAAAGAAAATAAATAAGTAACACACACACTATACATTATTATGTAGGAAAGAACGAGTATTGTCAACTTTCTCTATTCAGTAGATATTGTATTAGTAAGCGTGGGAAGGAGGAATTTGGGAGGTCTTTCAAATGATGAGGAAGATCTTTCCAGAGGTCAACAGCTATAGGTTGGATTGACTGTTTTCCAATATTCGTTCTTGTGCGTCGTTTATCAGAGTTCTTTATAGGGCATATGGTGTATTATAATTATATACTTGATCGGCAAACTGAAGATAATTTTGAAAAATGCTTGGCAACTCCTTTCTGTGCCATTGTTTTACTATCGTGCTGTCCATGACAAATGGTGCTTATTCAAGCTACAGCCAGTTGAAAATAGATGAGATACTTAAGCAAAAAAAAAAAAAACACTTTTCTAACCGTTATGCGCCAATGAGGAAGAATATATGCTTACGAATGCAACGGATTTTCCCCTCCACTGTTGTCATTTGCAAGTGCATGATATGATCTTGGGATCCGCCTTACAACTTTATTAACGAAGGAGAAAGCAACAAATCACGTCAAGTTTGTCAAACACCCTTACACCACTGCAGTAGAACCTCTCGTAACAACCACCCAAAGATTAAGTGGTCGCTTACAAGAATCGACCGACAGGAGGTATCTTCCAGAATCGAAGTGTTCCAAACACATCTGCATTTTGGAAGAGAATTCATTGCATGTAATTTCTAGTTTGCGATATAGTTGTTGGTCAATGTTGTCACTTAAGTTCTTCGCATACTCTGATTAGTGAGTCCATACGGCGAACGTAGAGAGCAAACATTGCTGCGAGGAGACGCCTATACAGGAGGATGAAAAAAAACTGAATAGAAAATATTAAACCCGTCATTCACAAAAACTGGTCGCGGTCGCTTATGAGAGTGCATTAACGTAAGCTAACAACCCCAATATGATTGCCTGAGAGGATACCAGGGACCTGAGTACAGCGATGGTGAAGCGTTTTTTTGGGGGAATAAAATCTTTAAAATCTTCATGAATGTCCTGTCCAATCCGGTAGCCGTAGGGGTGATGATGATGATGATGAGAGGGGGTCGCTGTAGAGTGATTAGACTCGAGAAGCTTTGGTGTTTTGGATTGGCGGTTGCTTATGTGAGGTGGTCGCTCACGAGAGATGGTCGCACATGGAGGTTCGACTGTATAAGTTTATAAAGTTTCAGTGTCTCGAGCCTTTTTTGCAACTGGTTGTAAATTAAATCGCCTTATTAGCTTAATGTCATCGTCCTTTGATCGATGAGCTTTTCGTTCTTCCGGCGTTGTGATTATAGTGGAAGACAACAACACTTGCATGAAGATCTTTTTATCGCCTGGCTAACTCAATTTCAAACTTTCAGCTTGCGGTCCGGTCCGACTTTCGGTGCGCAGAACACTTTTATATTCAAGATATCTACTGCTTCCTTTTCACGGTTTTTTATCACTGGCAAATAGCCTGTGGTGATGGTGAATCGAACCTTCACTTTTTCAGTTGAATTTTAGTGATATGTATAACTCATTTATAATTTCAACCTATTTTTCAGTCTTAATTATAACTTTCTGTAAACGCATCGACATTATTCTGGATGCGTTTTAAGTACCCTATTAGCTAGTGTGATTGGCTTCTTTTTAAAGTACATTTTCTTTCTCTTCAAGGTCTCGCTGGTTATTTTAATTCCGACGAAGGCCCAGTGGAAGAGGGATATGATGATACGAAGCCAGATGGCTCACATCCAGCTATTATGGGGTACAGTTTCCATCGTTTAGCCCTTCAAGTTGTATGGTTTGCCTTTTTAGATTAGCCGGCGAACATTCTATTATTTTTAGGAAGGAGAAAATCCTTTCGAGTCGTCTGTTTCCCTGAGTAAAAACGTCTTTTCTCTTTATTCTTGGCTTGCACTGTCACGCAATGAAAAATAAAAATGCAAACCATTCAATACAGAAGGACTAGAATCTGGGAAATAAAAAAAGATAAATATACAAAAACCCTTGCCAAGAATCAGGTCTGTGAAATATTTCAAATGCGAGATATTGGGAAAAACGGTTTACCTAAATTTATAGAGCTTTGTATGGAAACGCCATGTTGGTGTCCCTTTCAGGAACACCAATATGGCCGCCGGATACCAACAGAAACATCTGTTTTCGAGTTTTCCTACTAATGCGTGAATTCTTCGCTTGAAGAACTCATACAGATTACAGTAATATTAATTCTGAGACAAGGAACGTTTAGATTGCAAAATCTCCCATAATCGGTCATGTTTTTAACCCACGTAAGAGCTTTCCCGGCCGCCAGCTAAATGCCGCGTCAGGCAAAAGCCTGGAAATTCAAGCGTCCTCTCTCGCAAAACGAAGAACCCTTTCGAACCAAAAATTATTTTATGTAAAGGTGTTTAGGTACTGTAATACCTCGTGAAAGTAGAAACTCAGAAGAATCGATAGTTTCTTAGTTTGATTTTTGGTGACGTCACGTGCAACCCAAGAATTCTTTTGGCTTAAAATTCTCCATCACATGACCACAGAATACGATGAAGATGTGTAGAAATACACTGTTCACAGGCCTATTGTTGAAAGACTTTTCTGACGGGGACTAGCTGAAGCCTTTCTACAAACCGATACAACTTCTTTGACTCAGGACTTTTATTTGTTTGTTGATTGTGAGTTACAATTCTCTCTCTATTCTCTATTCACACTCTCGTAAGTCCCAGAAAACCATCTGCTAAGTGTAAACTAATGCTGACGTAAGTCTAATTTTTAGGTTAACCGGCCAATACGAAACAAGGAGAACAATATAAAAAACTACAAAGTATCTAGTCGTACTCAAACTTTTATTAACAACAGATATAGGAAAGTACTAAAATTACAATTTGAAAATCTTAGGTTGTTGTTGATTTACAGAAGGTGTTAAACTTCTTCATCGAAGATGATTGGCTAAAACGTTTTCATAAATTAACCACGGACGTGATCGCAAAACTCAGAGGGTAAATTAAAATGCAGTCCAAAGTACAAGGCAGAATTTTGAACAATAGTTGTTTAACCACAAAAACACCTATAAAATCACTTAAATCTAATTAAAGTTATCCACTGCCATGAATTCGGTCAAAAACTCAAAGAAACACGCTTAAATTGGTAAAAACAAGTAAGGTAGTCATTTCCTGGTAAATATCGACGGAACACCAGATTAAAGGTCAAAAATGTTAAACTGAACAAAATATATCAAAGGCTCTAATTAAACATATTTCATGAACAGAAGTGTTACCGCGGAGATGCACTAAATTGGTACATCTCCTTAAATCCTTTGCACCGAATTCATGTCAGGAGAAACTTTCTATCGATGATCAATTAACTTAAAAACCAAAACTATTAGTAGTGAAATAGCTTACTCAAATCAATCAACAAGAACGCTTACAACAACCCCACTACAAACGTATATCAACTTCGATCAACATTTTCCTTCAGCAAGACCAAGGAGAATGAATCAACAGAAATCATTTTCTCATTTCGGGAGAGGATGTCATTTGATCAGTGTTAATGCGTAGGAGTTGAACACCAAGTAAAATAAGTCAGTGTTTTTTTATGATATTTCCCTTCACCTGTAGATATTTCCGAATCGAATGAATTTTGTAATAAGTCCCAAACACCAAATAAAATTCCTTTAATTATTTTAAATCAAACACATGCGCACTTCGAACATTTTTCGTCGCTTCCATTTTTATTATTTAATACTATGAGCGGCTAATTCCTTTAAAAATAAGGCTCGTTTAACAGCCCGCTGTTCGGGGATATGAGCCCGCGCTTTTCTCAGGAAGGAACAAGGTCGAGTCTACTTCGCGTTGGAGATCAACTAAAAATTCATGTTTGAGATTAGAGAAAGACGTGGAAATATAATTTAAGCGTTTTTATTATTACTATTTTAATATTCTCTGGCTGGCGCAGCCGTTTTGGTGTCGTTACGCAAAACTACTCTGATCGTTGCGTGAAGAGATAAAGGCGGCTGCATAGGAGACTAATTTTTGACCAAAAGGTGAAAGAAAAATGAGAAGGGGAAGTCGTAAAAGGGAAGATAGAGGAAAGTAACACCGGTTACAATAATCAGTTCCCCTTCTCCTCTTTTCCCCCTCTCTTCGCAATTTCTCAACACCCCCCGCCCCCCTTCTTTCGCATTTACGCCTGGGTGGGTATATTGCCTTCATAACACGCTCAGTTTGTTATTATTTTATAGATTTATTTTGGCAGATCGAGCACGGCAGTTGACTACTTTAACAAAACAAGAAAGGTACGCCAGTGCTTTTTTTTCCCTGACACTCTGCTCGTTAGGAAATGTTGAATAACGTACTTATTTTTCATTTTAACAGACAAAAACTTGTTTGTGAACAATATGCGACTATTTACGACACAGACGAAGCCCTAGAGGTAAAATTTAGTACCTTAAGTCAGCTTTCTAAATAGTTACTCAACCTTTATCTCTGGTTTGATTGTTAACTAATTTTCCCCCTATCCTGCTAGCAGAGACTTTCTTTCGCCTGCTCGATTTTGGCGGCGCACTCGAGAAAGACTTTGCTTGAATCGAGTAAGGAGTTTGTTGAAAATGTGCTGCTTGTTGCTGAGATACAGTCACGAACTGAGGCCTAATAGCTGTGCACTTGGTGCAGCGTGCAACTTGTTTTGCAACAGAGCTGTAAAACGAGTTGAAAAGCAATTTTTTGCCTTTTACCAACTGTCTTGCAATAAATCAGGCTGTTGCAAGTTGGGTTAATGCTGACTTGCGATTGGATAAAATTACGCGGCAGTCACGCCATGTACGGGAGTTACGTCACTTTCTGCAAAATAATTTTGCCGTGAGCCGGAAAACGCGCAACGTGTACAGATTTTGTCGCAAAGTAGAACTAAACTCTACTCTCTGCAATAACTTTTCCGCGCACCCTGCAACTGAACAACTCGATTTGTTGCATGACAGGTTTGGTTCGTGGGTGGTAAACGCGCAACATCGCTATTCAACCCGCTTTGCAGCAACGTTACAAAACAAGTTGCACGTTTTTGCTGTCCGTTTTACCGTACTTTTAAAGCTGGAGAAAATGGCCCAAGATTTTTCACCCTATTCGAAGACGAAAAAAGCCAACAGAGACGAGCGACGAGGCAAATAACGGCTGTATAGTAGAGTATTTGATTATGTTTATTCTTTTCCTCAGCCCGTCTTGTATCTTGAAAAGAACTGGATGGCGGATGAGTTTGCAGGTGGTTGCTATGTGGGAACGTTTCCACCTGGCGTTTTATCGAACTTCGGAAAGTAAGTGACCTTTCATCGGTATTAAAAACCAGTATAAAGACCAGTTTTCAGCCAGTGAATGAAACGATCAAAACATGGACTTTTCGTTTTCCAGCCAAAGAAAACCTTAATATGGAGAAAGCATAGTTCGATTGGCCAATCGTGTTGCAGTATGACGTCAAAGCGAAGTATCGATTGATTTCTAGAAAGTTCTCGGGCATGAGGTTTTTTCACCCAAGCGTTCGCTTAACCAATCAAAAGCGCAACCATGCGTATTGTATCCGTTCGATAAACCAATCAAATCGCTCTATTTCTTTTCGTTTGTTGTTTCTGTTTTGTTCGCGCGTTTTCATTTCAAGGTCATACGAAAATCGCTCTAACAACTTGTTCCAGTTCTGTGCCGTTGCTGTTCATACTTTACCAGATAGCTCTTGATATTGGCACAAAAAGCTATCCGGTTAGTGTAATCACAGCCGAAGCCACAGCGTTCAGTCTGTTAAAGCAATTTGCTTACTGTTCTCTTCAGCTGTCCTTTGTTGGTCTCTGTTTCAGAGCGTTACGTGTCCCGTTTGGTCGAGTTCATTTTGCTGGTACCATTACAGCGTCACTTTGGGCTGGTTACATGGAGGGGGCTGTTGAATCCGGAGAACGAGCGGCGTTAGAGGTGAGTATTGCTCGATGAAACAATCCTTTAAGTGTCGCAGATTTGATAACTTGAACCGTGAAGGGAAGTACAGACTGTCGCAGTTCTATAGGGAAATAACTTTTTTTACAATAATTGAGCGATTTCTCCCTCGATAAGAGTACAGACCATGGATATGACGTGACAGTGACGTGATGGTGGCGCAATTTGTTTTCCTCTTATTTGCGCGCGCGATTTTCCGAGGAACTTCAACGGAAATGGATGTAAAAAGCCGTCGGTCAATGTTATTGTAAAAAAACAAATCGACAACAATTTTCCATGGTCTGTGCTCTTATGAACCATAGAAATGACGTGAAAATGTGCAAAACTTTGCAGTGAAAGCTAGTGAAACCACTTCTTTTGAGTTTTGAACATTTTGACGTCATTTCTATAGTCGATAGGGTTATAGACCATGGGAAATTGTTGTCGACTTGTTAATTAGAAGCTTTTTTAGGTTTTGTACTAGTGTAGCTTGCAGGAACTGAGCTCTGTGGTCAAGACCGCGATACTTAGAGCTCATTCACGACCTAATGCAGAATGCAGACCTTCTAGAAGTTGGGCAAACCTCAGTCGGCAGTGATGCCGTGACATTGTCTTCTTTCTCGTGTTTGTGTTTAATTTTAGGTCCTGAGTAGACTTGGCATAATAACAGAGGATGACGCTAAGAAACGACTTCATCCTGAGGTAAGTAGCATCATGAAAGACCCGAAGGTACAAGAAACTTAGGCACTCAACTTGCTGATTATTGCTTATCGCATGACCAACTTCTTCGTGACAAGAAACATATTTGACCCAGAGAGAACTGGCTTGAGAAAATTGTCGACTGAAGTTTGCTTTTTATGAAAATAGACGGGAATTTTAATGAGATGTGTGTCCAACGCCAGAAATTCCCTGCAATTTAGGTAGCGAAGAGTCAAACGTGATTTAGAGAGATTAGCACGGGGGTTTTACCCTCCCCCTCCTCCCTGTCTCATCGCCCAATACCTCACTAGAGGACCTGTTTACAAAGAGGCCACTTGCCTTCCGTTCTGTCATCCTGGTGAGTAAGTTCATATGGGCCTCTATCCGCCCTTTGCTTTTTCATACATTATCAATGATTTGGCCGGGCTTTCTGAAAATCTCAAAAATTCATTCATAACAAGTAAAACCAATCTGTCCTAATCGCAAAAAATAGTTTCCTCAAAACACAAAAAATTGCCAGTCTGCGAAAATAAACTCCAGCAAAAATTTCGTGCCACACGGTAGATCATTCCCGTAATGCAATTGGACACCAAACCCACCCTGTCTCAAGCCCAAATTCATGTGACCAAAAAGGAGAGGTTCCAATTCAGTGCATGAAATTCTGCTAACTAAAAATTCAGATCTGGTGTCATCTCCAATTCACTTTTTATTTATTTATTTAGTTTATTTAGTTTATTATTATTATTATTATTATTATTATTATTATTATTATTATTATTGTTATTATATTATTATTATTATTATTATTATTATTATTATTATTATTATTTTATTTTACTGCAGGGTTTGGAGTCCAAATTTATGGAGTTTTCATTCACAGAGAAGCATCTTCTTCCCTCAGTTCCATCCTTTTTGTATGGTTCTTGTTTACTCGGCGGTGCGGCTGTTCTGACAGTTTTTTGGTGGAAATATTTCTCAGAATAAATCACAGATATTCGTGATTCATGTCTTTTTCAAAGTAACAATGAACTTTTTTTCTAGGCGCATAGCAAGACGAATAAATCGCCGCCCAAAATAAAGATTTTGGCAGAAATCGGAAATAGAAACGGTGATCATGGATAATGATTACTGCACTGTTTTATCTTCATGACTAATTTCCATTTGAGAACCCAGAGTGGCCTTTGCTTTATAGAGTTTTTTTCCAGGTTTGTTATTGCCTTTGGACACCCTCGTTCCCATTCGCCCTCTTTGACAAAAAAAATAGCGCATTGTAGCCCGTATTTTTTTGCCTTACAACCTCCACTTCAGGGAAATTGTATAGTATTCCAATTCTGCAAAAAGTAGCAAAATCCTTTCTTGATAAAATAAATATGTTTATAAATAAATAAATAATGCTAAAAAATGAGAGGTCTGGAAACCCTTGGCGTTTCTTTGACCACATGTGACCTAGACTTCATAAAAGCAAATATTGAATATCGCTTATGACGAAAATTCAATGAGAACTGAACGGATTAGTTGTTGCAAGGAGACTTGGCCCGAAAAAATCCTGCCTTTTTTTCTATTTACTCTCCCAGGAAAAACTTACAACTTTAATCATGGTGTAGACAATGTTCGCCTTTATACGGAGATATGTGCTTTAATTTTGTAGTGGGTGGAGAGCGCTCTCAATATTGTGGACTAATTTTTCTGTTTTAATTATTTATTCATGAAACACTGTACATCCATGACATTTGCATTTAACATGTTGACCTGTATTTTCATGGATGTTTCTCACTGTGTCGGGCCAGTGTCTTATAAAATTCTTCATTCAAAATGTAACGGTTTCTTACGTCGCTAAGAGAGTTTCCTGTCGGTAGAAAACTCTGTGCGTGAGTGTGCTCATGTGTGAAGTTGTGTCGATTAAGAATGCTTTGTAGAGAAACATTAAGGCGTTGACCTCGTGTTTTAATTTGGCCTTGGCTCAGCTGTGTCAGTGCCTTGATTTGTCAGGCTCTACAAAGTGGATTCAGCCTTAGTTTTGGGATACTGTTGCCAGAGGTGATGATGGAATTCAACGAAAGCAAGAAGAACACTCGTAAGTATTTGGATAAATAGTTAAATTATAAGAACGCTTGCAAGTGGCGATTATGATAAGCGAAACAAAAATTAAAAAGCACACCAGCTTTTAATTCGTTTTTACTACACTTAATCTTTGAAATGATAATTGCAAGAGCAAATCCCTGTGATCTGAGCGCAATTTTAACTGTATATTGGTACCTGGAGCGTGCTTACAAGGCCATGATGATCTACTTATGGTCATCCGATTATTGCCATGTTTCCTTTTTTTGGACTATTCGGAATTTTGGCGATTTTCTGTTCCCATTCCAACTTTGCCCTCGCTTTCCCCAGTAACACTAGGTTGGCAAACACCCAGTACACCAGTACAACTTAGAGTCGGTGCATTAGACAGACTCTAGCTTTTTGTGAAAATTGTGTATCAAGTCAGACATGGGCCTAGGGAACGGATCGGACCAAAGGCAGAAACTTGAAGATTCATATACCCCATCCCCCCCCCCTCCCCCCCGCCCAAGGGGAGAGGTAGTCGTGTGTAACAGGATATGCTTTTTGCCTCTCTGACTATAAAACCCTTTGAGGTACTAAAATCAGCTGAGAAAATTCCCATTATTTCCCAGCTCAACACCCTAAAGGACCCTAAAACGGGTACCGCAACAGCTCTAATGACCGTCTTTTTTAATTAATTTCATCAATAAAAAAGTGGGCACGGAGAACTATACCGGCAATTTAATCTGACGACGGCAGTCTGAATATTCTTGTATTTTTGCCAATTTTAGGCTGGAAATATTCTAGTATTGTTCTTAAATTACAGCTTCTGACTTTTTCATTTTAGAAAGTACTGGAGTATAAATTGCAAATAATGCACGCATTTTTTTTTGTCGTTTCGGTGGCTAGTTTTGCCCTTAAGAGAGAGGAATAAATTTTACGGACAAGTTAAAAACATATAATTGTATTGTCTTTACAGAATTTTCGGCACGTAAAATCATATCCTTTTCAAAATCTCAGCCATGGGCTTATCATATTCTTAAATTTTAGCAAATTTCGGCCTCGATATTCGTATAGAATAAAATACAACTATCCCCCGAAGGGATCAAGCGCTGTTCACCAACCCTGAGGTGGATAGTTGTTTTAGTATTCACCAAATCAGTTGGATAAAAAGGAAAAAAAGTAACTTTACGTCATTTGGTGGGAACTTTGTTTACAATTTACAAGCATTTCGGGGATATTGTCAAAAGCGAATAGTGCGGCTTCTATCAAAAGCTCACTATCTAGCAACTTGTACCGCCCCATTATTCAGCAAACTTAAAAGGTCCTTGACATATATAGCATAATTCTTTTTCTGTTGCTATATTTATGTATTCCTATCACTAGAATCTTTTGCCTAGTAGCTTTCGTAACCTCTTTTTAAGTAGTAACCGGGTTCACCATTTTGAACCTCGACTAGCCTCTCAGTATAGACCTCATTTTTGTAGAACTAATATTAGTTCAGTATCCTGTATCGAGGACCAACAATCTGGAATTCTTTGCCAGTTACACTAACTAGCTCCTCTTCCATATTTGTTTTTAAAAAAATCTGAAGAACTATCTCATTCATAGTCGATCTGTCGCTTAATTAAGTTTATGTTTTCTGCACACTCTGCAATAAAGAAAGCCCTTGTAATTTACCTTAAGGAAGCCTATGTGATAGATTTATTTCAAAACCAATAGATCTCTACAGTAACGGGCTTCTATTCCGATACACTTGCCAAAAACGATAGGGTTCCACAAAAGTAACGGGCTTCTAAACCGATACACGCGCCTTCAACAAAATTACAATTCTCTAAATCGAAAAACTACTCCGTTCAAAGTGTCACATGATCACGTGTTCGAAACGTGTCGGCTACATCTAAGGTCAAAAAATGTCACGCGCGAAAAGTAACACAAAACTCCGTGACAGCCTATTAATATAAGTTCCCAGCTTCTTTAGTCTTCTTTGTAAGAGCAAAGCCTTCCTTGTCACAGCAACTTATATTTTAGAGTGGTTTTCATTTGAGTGTCGAAAAGTAATTGGTTTTGCACTTTCTACACGATGCGATTGGCTTAAAAGATTCGCGCCACCTTTTCATCCAATCAGAAGTAAAACCAAAGCCAATTGTGACGCGCTCGCATGCATTTTCCCGCGTTTTGCGTCAGCCACATGTAATTACTTCGAGTTTTGACTGGTTCAATGTATTGTCTCTGTCCTATTTGATTGGCCAGAGTAATTACTTTGGTTTTGGTTTTACGACACTCAAACGAAAACCACTCTAATTAACACCTCTTTTAACGTTTTATTTTATGTATTTTGAGTGACCAAAAATAACAAATAAATGAATGAATAAAATTCAGGAATAACAGTAAAACAATATTATAAACATCTTATAAATGAAATGATAAAAAAGGATATTTTTGTCTAATATTGATAGTAAAGGAGAGGAGTGCGCTTAACGTTTTAAAATGAACATTTGTTTAAAGCCGGTTCGAGGCATTCAGGTTGTGGGGAGTGACAAAATTGTTTAGAAAGTTGCAGGAGACTAGAAAATTCCCCTCCTTCCCCCCAAAAAGAACATGTTAAACAAAAAAACCCCCCCCCCCCCCTTAAAAAAAAAATCCTGTACACGCAAGGGCCGTCCCCTCCCGGGTTCAAATGGTCCGTCCCAGCTCCTGTCCGTCCCTAAGTTTCATTTTCACTTTTCTGTATGGCGCAAATTATAGCTTGAAAATCCTGGCTTATTGTCGATTTACAAGAGGTGTGAAGCTTCTTGTCGAAAAATGATTGGTCAGAACTTTTCCATAAATTAGCTAAGGACGTGATCAAAAACTCAGAAGATAAGTTAAAAATACAGTTCAAAGTACAAGGCAGAATTTAGAGCAATAGTTGTTTACGTAAAAAAACACCTATAAAATCACTTAATCTAATTAAAGTTATCCATTGCCATGAATAGCGCTTTATACTAATGACGTCACAAATTTCTGGTCCCTGCTGTGACTCAGACATTTCACCTGACCAGTATAAGAGTTTAGTATGGGAAAGTCACGTTCGGCAACAAATTTTCGTCGTCTTTGAAGATGTTTATCATTAAAGGAAACAAAATGCACTTAATGCAGCTTGGTTTCGATGATAAATATCCCGAAAATAATCAACGCCTGCCAAGACAGCGTTAAACGTGGAAAAAACTGTACAGATGAGTGGTTGTATTTCTTATGCGGCATCATAATGCTGTGGGTAAAATTATGTTAAAATGTGTGGAGAGTAAGGCTTCATAGCTGTGCCTGAAACGGTGCATTTGGTTAAATTTATGGGCAAAGGTTGCTCAATTTTTTTTTTTCGAGTGCTTATGTTACGCTACTTAGTACTACAGGATATAAAGTACTAAAGTATTCGTCCCGGATTCATATGGTCTACCTGGCCGCACAACAACAGAACAAACTTCCACAATTTCCGGTTTGTGCTAATATTGGTGTGCTTTTCACCTTAGATATTCTGTCACAGGCTTGCGAGAAGCACACCCAAACTCGATTTTCTCTTTAGCCATTTCGGTTTTGGAGTATAACACAGCCAATAATGTTGTGTCATGTTTCAGTGCATAGCGGTGCTTTCTGCCTAAGACAGAGAGCTAGGGATCCGATTTCAGTAGCCTTCTTCGATCGAGTCACTTTATTTTCTGATTTTAACAATTTATTTGAGTTACTGGACCAGGTTTTGCTCCCAATAGCAGTAGTGCCTTTTATATATTGGAATTATGCTCAAAAAACATTTTAAAAACGCTCACTGCGAATTTTATGAACAATTTTCATGTTGGAAACGTATGTTTCCCATACAAAGCCTTGCAGTAGAATGCGAAGTTTGTCTGAGTCACGCGGGGGGTCTAAGGTGACAAAACCTATTTTTAGTAATAGTAGAAAGCGCT